AGATTTGCGCTCCAGTGATTACCTTCCCACTGGTTTCACTTCTATCCAGGACCTCCAGCAGAGAAGCAACTCAGATTGGGCTGCTGATGTCCAGGAGGCGGTGAACGGGGTGCGCTTTGTGGCAGAGCACATGATGGGAGATGATGATGATCAAAGTGTATGTATACACATTTAAACTAAATGTTTTAAGTTATTATTCCATCCATACAGTGCTATAAAAGGATATTTGCTTCCCACAGATATGAGATAAAAGAGAGATAAACAGAAAACATGAAGATATTGTGTGTCCAACATCAATCACATTATATGACAACATAATTGGAAACTACATTTTCATGTGTTTATCTTGTTATAAAGTTAAAGTTTGCAGCTAACATAATTTTTCTAAGTTTAGAGTTGAAATATTTTACCATCAAAACAATCCACTCCACTGTCAGTGCCTTCCTCCTCCATCTATTCTATTTCCAATAAACTAGATCAAAGGTTTTTGTATTGACATGATTTACTGCATGTTCTGTGACTGAATACCACTAACCTTATATAGTGACTGTGACCGAGCAACTTGAAGTCAGGCTGTGTAATCAGTTGCTTTCTCTGATAAATCAATAAAATAAAGAGGGAACCAGGAATGAGAAATTACTCATTTCAAATGCTACCAAGGACAGCACTAAAAATGGGGTTAAAGGGTCAATAGCTATTTCCTTGTAGATCTCAGCAATATGGAGACGGTCCTAACAGAGGTATAACTTAACTGTGTTTTCGTTCAAATATTACTCAGTCAGCATCCAAAGAATTTGATTACCTATACAAAGCAATATTATTGTTATGAGTTGATGATGAAAATGTATGAAAAAGTATATTAAAGAACACTGTACGTTCTAATTTCTTCCAATTCAAGCGCTAGCAAACACAATTGACTGCAAGACATATTTACAGCACGTATGTAAGATGTGTTATCTGAGTTTTACAGTTTGTTTGGATGCAGAGAGCCTCGATCCATAAAGTGAATCACCCTCACACATTTATTTCATTTATTCATTCTCTCAGTTACACGCTCTGCCCCCGAGTGGCTGCACAGAGGCGTGGCAGCGTCCGCAGACGACACTGACACAGGATTATTTGGCTCTGCAATACTGCTGGTTTATTATAATAAACGCCTGTGTAAGGTTTGTTGTGACAAAAACATGCACACTGACTCATCTGATTTCTGTATTTTTGCAGGTGATTGAGGACTGGAAGTATGTGGCTATGGTGGTGGATCGTATGTTCCTGTGGATCTTTATCATAGTATGTGTGGTGGGCACCCTGGGCTTATTTCTTCAGCCTCTTTTCCAGACTCAGATTACTCCCAACCAACAGCCCAGCTCAGAAACTCCTCGCATATGATGGGCAACGAAGAAGACAGCCAGCAGGCCAGTCATAGTTGCAAAGTCTTTTTGGCATTCATTTAACCCTGTAGTACCATAATGGTGGGGTCAAAAAGCACTAACAGCAACATCGTCTGTGCAAACACCACCAAGAAGGGAACTGGTAACCACTTATTGTGTACATCAGTGGAACAGACAGGTTCTTTGTGCAAGATAGAATATAAAATATCTCCTAATAATCAAAACCACGTGGTCCACAGCAACACAACCATCTACAGCCCCAATATTTTAAGGAAATGGTACATCTGCAAGGGACCAAATTTGGCATCGTTGCAATGAGGTCATTTCCCTTCATGTCAACAAAGGGCAGCTGCAGAACTGGACTGAATGTAGCTTTCACTGCACTGAAGTATGCTGAGCTGTTGAAGAAATATACCCTATGATGGAGATATGAGAAACGTCTGGCTGCTGTCAGATGTTGGTTGACTCCTTATTTGTGTTTAAGTTATATTATCATGTTATTGAAATGTGATGTGTGATTAAAGAATGAATAATAAAGATAAATGTGTGTCCTATTTCAGTTTGATTAAATGTATGAAACTCATAATAAAGTCTTTAAATTAAAGTGCTAAGTTAATCTATGTTACCGGTGATAAAGTTTGCACTCAGAGCCAGTACGTTTGCTGAAGATGTGCCAATTCATCACATAGACTTCACCTGAAATGTGAGAATGTATGATCAGGCAAAAAAATAAATGTTGACACAACAAAACTGTTGGAGATGGAGCTGATCTTGATTACAGAACCTTGAGGACCAGTGCTTTTGCCATAGTTATACAGCCATAGACCTAACACATTCTCTTAAGCAAAATCTTTAAGGCTTTAAAAAAGCTGTGAAGAAGAAAAAACACCATGTATTTGCTTCAGACACTGTAATCTTATGGCCATTCGATTGTGCCTTTACTGATGAGCACACATAAATGATACTTCACAAAATGCACATTCCGAACTGAACCTTCACCCACACACATTTACTGCTCAATAAACAGTGCTGAGTGGGCTCGTTAGAAATTCTGCAGACTGTTGGGTTTTTTTGTGAGACATTCATTTAAAGCAATCAGCATCAATGTTCATGGACGGCCTTACTTAAATCTCTGTTTACAGTTCTCAAGCTCATTCACAGGATTTCACCTGATAGCATACTGTCACCAGTGAAAAGTCAGTGCCACAGCATATCCGTCAACAGTCCATCGTCTGCTCCAAACAAAGAAGGAGGATTCGGCGTCAACACGCGGTGGAAGGTCCCATAAATAACATGCCTTATGTCTGCAGCCTTTTGTCATTACTCCCCAATAAGATATGCATGGAACCATTGTTCTGAGAATTGTCCTGCCACATAAGCAAGCTTTCCCAGCATCATAATTTAGTCCTCGAGAATGTGTGTTCAGTCGAAATGACATGATTCACTCCAAATAAATAAATCTATTTATATGCATTTATCTATAAATTATCTATCTATATAAATACTACCTTTACAACATGATATGTTTAGAAGCTGTATGTTACTAACGATAGTCTTATTAGCTTTAATGTGTCAGTATTGAAACAACTTGTGTTTTCATTCTGCACTGTCTGGGACAATAAAAAAATCTCTGAAGGTCAAATTAACATTCCTTTTTTCTTTCTAGGTCATGTAATCCTGTATTAATCCCCCCTGGGGGCAATTCTCTTTTCCCTTGCCTCACTGCATGGTCGGACACCAAACAGCATCGTTGGTGATGGTAGACCTCCACTTCATCCTGCAGAGGGATAGAACTGTCAAACCACTTGGCCATCCTGCAAAGAAAAGAAAATGACAATGACAATAAAGAAAGAAAAAAGGAATGCAACTTCTTGGTCTCTAAAAGGACTGTAGCTGAAAATGAGCCCTCTGGCTAACACTGACACAAATAACAAAAATGTTTCATAATGTGCATTGGCCTTATAAATAAATACAAAAATGAAAGAAGTCAATGTATTTTCTAAATTGAAAGTGGTTTACTGACAGATATTGGCATATTTTGAAAAAAAAAACAACCCACAGGATATTATGTGAAAACGAAAGTCAATAAAGAATCAATCAAGGAGGGGTCACCCAACTGAGGGCCACCCAACCCAATGGCACACATTGGCTATTGGTCTTTTCTGATGAACTGAACACTGTTTGGTGATTTAATATGGACATCTACGCTGTGAGGGGGAAATATGCGTGAACACCACCTGGGTCCATGTTCACTGTCAATGGGCGATGTTCACTCTGCACAACCTAGGTGCAAATTTGTCTTCATGCAACAGACTTGAATGGATTTAGTTTAAACCCCGAAAATATGGCTTTAAATTTTAAGTGTTTCTTTGTACCAGTACATATTTATGACTACATAAACAACAATCAACATTAAAAACACAGTTAAGTATTATTTGTTAAGTGTTTAACACTCAAAAACTCAGTTTATCTTCTTCATCAAGACTGTGAGAATAGCATTTGAGCAGATTTGATTGATGGTAACCAAACAGCCCACCATCAGATTCTGACTCAGATGCTGCTAAATCTTGCATGATGGTACACAACGTAAGCTTTCTCCTGTGGAGCCCCCCCAACAAATTGGCTACATCAATCAAACAAATTGTTCTAACTTTGGCAAAATTTTATGATTCATGTGGGTTCCCATCACTCATAGTTAGAAGTTGATTGAGAAAATATGTTTTTAGGGTCTTTAAAAGGATGGAAGTGACTTAAAGAGGAAGCTGTGGTGGCAGTGTGTAGACTATTATTAGAAAGCAGACTCGTCCTGTCTAAAGGAGCTACACAATATCAATTAAAGGTGTGATTTGTAGCCGTTTTATCAGATTTGGTCACTGTAGGTTGAGCATTTTTTGCAGTGCATTGTGCCTCCATGACTGTGTTTCTCGGTGTGGCTCTGCCCCCCCCCCCACCTCTGCTCTCTGGTGCTCTCTGCAGCTGCAGACGCGCTTTCACTCTTCCCACTTTCTCCTCCTGTCTGCTCCGTGGAGTGCTGCTGCCACTGACCCAGGATTCGTCATTTGAAACAGGATGAAAGCCATTTTTTGCTCGATCTTGCCCACATGGTCCCTCCTTCTGATTCTTCTGCCAGGTATTGCTTTAACATTATATCTTGTTACTGACTTGTTGCTTTACATGGATGTGTTTAATACTATTGGCACAACTAATGATGAAAAATGTGTTGTTCCCTGTACAAAATTAGCAATTAAAAAATAGGCATTTGAAATAATAATGTGTGAACAAAATATTCTCACAGTTAAATCCTACATTTTATACAAACATTCTGGCAATTCCAGCTGATGACTGTAGGCTAGTGTTATAATTCATTTAAAGGGATGAACGTATTTGTAATGGTGCCAATTAGTATTCTTTACACAGAGGAAAATAAATCAGCACAGCAGGATAACTTGAAGGTAATGCTGTAGTTCTAATCTTGGTACTGAAATATGCTCCCCTGGATTGATGTGAACTAAGAAACAATCATCTGGCTGTTAGTCACATCGTAAGCACTATACAACTAAACCACAATGCAATGACAGATCCATTCTGACCCTTTGCTGTTATCCAGGAGGCTCCTGTTCAGATGCAGAGCACAAGCTCTTCTCTGGGATATTCTCCAACTACAACCAGTACATACGACCAGTGGAAAATGTGACAGACCCAGTCATTGTACAGTTTGAGGTGTCCATGTCACAATTGGTCAAAGTGGTAAGTAACATTTCTTTTCTGTGACAAGTGATGATGTCTATAGTACATTTGAGTTATGGGCTGCTACTTCACCACAATCAAACATGTATCACTCTGTTCAGTCATGACCTGAGAGTAACATAAAGACAGCATTAAATACGAAAAAATAGGTTGTGTGTCAATTTGTAGGCTTTAGACGGCAAAGTTTTAGAAGACGCCATCAAAGACACCTGAGTTACTGCCAGTGCACAGTAGCCCCTGGTTTATAATCCCGAGGAGAGAACAAGATGAAAAGAGGGGCAATGTGGCTGTTTGTCTGGCCAAGACAAGATGGGAAATGTCAGCTGTCTGAGTACCTCTCAACTTAGGCAACCTCAATCACTGCCACTTCAGATGAGCAGCTCTGGATTTAGTGGCAGGTTTTTTTGGAGCTTGGTGACTGCAAATTGGTGGGGCAGACAGAAGGCTGTCTCTCTTGACGGATATCAATAATTAAGTAAAAAGGCCCATTTTGGACAGGGAGGACAGCTTCATTCACCAAATGAACAGCCTTGGATGTGTTAAATACTCTCACATCAGTACCTCTGCAAATTTCACACTTTTTGTATGCATTAAACAAATGACACATAATGTGTTAATTAGTGAGCTTCAGGGGTGATGGTAGACCCAGGCTAGCTGTTTCCCCCTGTTTGCAGTCTTTGTGCTAAGCCATGCCAACCATCCCCTGGCAGCAGCTTCATATTTAAGGGACATATGCAAGGCTGAGGGGTATTACATAAAATGGCAAACAATTTCTTTAAATTGTAATGTTCTATTAAAAAATATTTTAGCAGCCAAATGTATAAAAGTATTTCACTTCGTATGCAGTAGGAGGCTATACAGAACATTCATTTTAAATGAATAATGTGGGGTCTAACAGCCCATCTCAATCTGTTTTCATTTGCCTGTGCACAGACAATCTTTTTTTTTCTTTCACTGAAGAGCTAGATAGGTATTGAAGACCTGTCTGGATCTAGAGATGACAAAAAGATAAAGGATATTTTCTTAGACTCTCCTTAACTCTGGTGATATAGCAGGCTGTGGAGATCCTGCTGATGAATGACTTTTATTCAACCCCAACACCTGGTGCACCTAACCCAGATGTAACTGGTATTGGTCAGCCTACACCAATTACAGCAGAGCTATGTGAGTTATTTTAGACCATCAACAGCTCATCGGCCGAGCTGGCTCACACAACATCTCACAATCAGGGATCCGTAACAGACTCTTTGCTTGAGGGTTTCAGAACAAGTGGCAGTATGCTTTGGAGTCCATGTTCCTAGGATACAGTACCTCATGAAAAGGTGCTATGCCTGCATTGTTACCGCTGAAAAAGTCACAAACCCAGAGATCTGATCCAGAACAACTGCACTTCTTTTGTGTCTCTGCTTTCTGACTGATTTGGTGAAAAGGCACAGGATGTGCGCCTTAGCCATCAAAGTGCTTAAAAATCATCATTTTCCCAAAGACGATTCAATAAAGATTGTCCTGCGGCCTTCTGTCCACCTGTACTTAACAGCAATGTGGAACCTCTCCTGGATATTAAATGGTAACATGAATGGTTAATGTTATGCACGGGGTCATGAAATTGGTTCATGCACGGTCAAGTCACACACAAACCTGACCCACGCAGTCTTTCACCCTCCCCCTTTGTCCCTCTGCTTTAGCTTTACTACTGAGTTGTTAGACTAAAAGTTAAGGCTGTGCTGCGACCGCCTGGCTCCAGATGCCATGTGTATAATGCTCCAAGCGTGAAGGACTCAGGTGTGCCTCTCATAATCCTCTTGTCTGGGATACGCAGAGGTCTGAACTCGCAGACAGCACACAAACAATCCTCAGTGGTGAATTGGATGAGTGGCAGTGACAGTATTCCTCCTTGTTTTAGCTTAAAAATGTTAACATTTATTGTTTTTTTTCTCCGTTCTCAGGATGAAGTCAATCAGATCATGGAGACAAATCTGTGGCTGAGACATGTAAGTTTATGGTGCATGACTGCACAAATAGACCTTAAGCAAGGGCATCAAGTATGGATCCAGCTTTCTGTCATACATTATTCTTTTGGGCTAGACTGACAAGTTGAATTATTCATGGAAGGAAGCTTTTTAAACACATTGATCCTTCTATGCCGTTTTTTAAGAAGAAAAAAAATCCTATAAGCCAAATGCACTGAGATTTTATTTATTAAATTTTATAATGTGCTTGAAATAATTTGACAGTGGTCTGGAATTTATCTTGGAACTTGCCAAAGTCCATAATGTTCAATTCGACACTGTGACTGAAACCTCTAAGCATCGGCAACATACTGAACCAGAAAGATTAAACCACAATTAACCTCAAATGTTTTTCATAATCACATAGAACAAGCTGACAACAAAAATAGATAGTGTTCATACATGCAGGATGACTTGATGGTTTTGTCATTTACTTCATCCCTCATGGTTTCTCTGTTGCCATGATGCATAGTGCAGTGAACCAGTTTTGAATCAGATGAGGTGGGGTAGGTCTCCAGGACCCACATTACAAATGCTGCGCGAATACTCATCGGTGCTGGAGAGATTTTCATGCTAAAGGGTTGAGCTGTAATTGCTAGTTGGTGGTGAGAGTTCACTTATTTTAATATCATCTCTTTTTTTTTTGAGTCTCTCTAAGCAACGTACAAACAACTGGGTGAGGTACATTTCCCCTGCTGGCCATCCAAAATGTTTTCAATGCACTCTAGAGACGTACTGCTTTTTAATTAAGTGACATTTTTACAGCTCTCTGAGGTTGCTTTAGCATTGTTGCTTTACGAGGCTGACTGGCTGTCCTCAGGAGAGGCAAAAAAACAAAAAGGTCGGTAAAACATACTGTAAACTGTGGTCCATTCTTCTCTCCTCTCAGACTACATACACTGTTTATATGGCACGGGTGGAAATGACGGCTTCTCATTGCTTTAGTGAGGGACATTTTACAAGAGAATGCGTTTAAAATCAGTCAGTAGATAATCACCAGGAGGAAACAACTGGTAACCTCCTGCTGTTATATCTGTTCCCTTAGTGCCATCATGAGGTGGATATTTGTGGTAAAATGTCTGAACTACTGGATGAGTACTGTGACATTGGTTACAGACAATCCGGACCCCTCACTATGAATTGTGAAAATTTATGGTAATCCCTTAACCTTTCATCAACGGGTGAATTTCTTAATTTGTCCAATACTTTTTAATACAATGACATTCAAAGCCTCATGGTACTTAGTGTTTACAGCTAACACATGCATGTTAAGAAGCTAAACTAAGATGTATGTTATCATGCTCATGTTAGCATTTAGCTCAAACCACCACTGTGACTATGTACAGTGTCTCTGAGCCACTAGCATTGCTGCTTTGATGATATTTTTTATTGTATTTTGTAGGTATTTATATTGTTTATATATTTATGTATTTGTATTTGTATTTTTTTTTTCACGAGTACAGAAATGGATGAATAAATAGGGCCTTCATTGAGCTGTTACATTTGGCTAAGATTAACCAACTTGATTTGTGACCTGATTCTGTAGGTTTCAAAACCAGTTTCATCATGCATACAGACAGTAGGGCCTTGTTCATTCTCACATTGACTTTAAAATTGTAACCTTATTAGCTTATTGTAGCAAAGTTTTGTCTGACATTGTAATTTTTCTGCCTTGTTTTTAAAAATTTTTTTTTTATATATATAAATGAATTACTCTGTTTTGCTTTTTAGATCTGGAATGACTACAAACTCAGATGGAATCCAAAAGAATTTGGAGGCGTTGAGTTTATCCGAGTGCCGTCCAACAGGATATGGAAGCCAGACATTGTGCTATACAACAAGTGAGTGCAACAACAAATTAAAAACCTGGCTCAGCATTTTCATTGATTGCTGGCTGCATTTATGTTAAGGGTTTGCCGAACAATGACAAGCCATATCAGTATCCACTTGGGTATATTTTTTTGCTTTGCATATTCTTAAGGGACTTTATAAGGAACATCGGAGGGTGCACTTTACTGAAACTACAAAGCCTCTTTTTTTTTTTATATCTCAATTGATCATATCCTTCAATCAAATCAGTTGTCTTTAACATTCGCTCTGTCTTCCTCTTTTGCTGTCTCACTCTTTCTGTCTTTCTCTCTCTCTACAGTGCAGTTGGAGATTTCCAGGTAGATGACAAAACAAAGGCCCTGCTTCGTTACAATGGTGATGTTACCTGGATCCCTCCAGCTATATTCAAGAGCTCCTGCAAGATTGACGTCACTTACTTCCCCTTCGACTACCAAAACTGCACCATGAAGTTTGGCTCCTGGACATATGACAAGGCCAAGATCGATCTGGTGCTAATTGGCTCAACCATCAACCTCAAGGACTTCTGGGAGAGCGGCGAGTGGACGATCATCGATGCCCCCGGTTACAAACATGACATAAAGTACAACTGCTGTGAGGAAATCTACACGGATATCACTTATTCTTTGTACATCCGCCGTCTGCCACTTTTCTACACCATCAACATGATCATCCCCTGCCTCCTCATCTCCTTCCTCACCGTGCTTGTCTTCTACCTGCCGTCTGATTGTGGTGAGAAAGTCACTCTGTGTATCTCCGTCCTGCTGTCTTTAACTGTCTTCCTCCTCGTTATAACAGAGACCATCCCCTCCACCTCACTAGTCATCCCCTTGATTGGCGAGTACCTCCTCTTCACCATGATCTTTGTCACCCTCTCTATTGTCATCACTGTTTTCGTGTTAAACGTCCACTACCGCACACCAAAGACCCACACTATGCCCTGCTGGGTGCGGACTGTGTTCTTGGGACTGCTGCCCAGGGTGATGTTCATGACTAGGCCAGAGAGGGACCCCGGGCAGGTGACAGTGCCTGGCAGTGTTAAGACCATGCATTCAAGGCCCTGTGCCATTCATTCGTCAAGTACTTTGCAGAAGCAGCACAAACCTCAGGCCCTGGCCTCCAGCGTGGTGTCCAGTCTGACAAACCGCCAACGGCTTTTCAACAACACAGAGCTCTCCAACCTCAATAACTTAAGTGGAGACCCGGCCAAAGGTGCAGGCTCCGCGTTTTTATGCTGTGAGGGCCGCTGCAGCTGTGGCTGGCACCAGCGATCCAGCAAACTGCCTGCAGACTCCGGGGGTGGGAGTGGAGGGCTGGGTAGCCTAGGGCCACTGACTGGAGGCAGTGCTGTTGGGGCCGGAGGGGGGAGTCGGTGCTCCAGCTCCGAGTCTCTGGATGGAGGAATCATGTCCCTGTTGCCGCTCTCCCCTGAGGTCAGGGAGGCGATCGAGAGTGTCAAATACATAGCAGAGAACATGAGGCTACAGAATGAAGCAAAAGAGGTGAGTGCTCACAATCACAAAAGCATTTTAAACTACAGCTTTTAAACCATTTTGCTAAAAATGAAACTACAACAATTTCACCATGCCACTGACAATGATTTTGCTGTGATCCTCTCACAGGTTCAGGATGACTGGAAGTACGTTGCCATGGTTGTCGACAGGATCTTCCTGTGGGTTTTTGTCCTCGTGTGCATCCTGGGTACAGCTGGCCTCTTCCTCCAGCCTCTATTACTTGTGGAGGACATTTGAATCAGTTTAACAACACTACTGTTGAACTATTCGTTACATACAAGATTCTCACCATGGCTTGGACAGAGGAAATCTAGAAGGGATCCAAAGTCAAGAAGGAAGGATGACTGTGCCTGCCAAATGTTGATGCATATGATTTAGTGACTGCTTTTTCACAGACAGATTACTGGTAGATGATTTTTGTTTGACAAAGTGGTTTAGTGGTTTCTTCTGAGAACAAACAATGGCAATGACGATGGTGGTTAGTCATTTCATTGCGTACAAAATAATTCTGCAGGAAATGGCAATATAATCTTTAATGACATGGAAACACTCTTGCAGAATCAAAGTAAAGTAATCTGGATGAATAAATAATGGGTAAACTGAATAGGGAACTTTACTCACCTAATTTCTTATTAAATGAGTATGTACATACATTCACAAATGCAAATATTATGCTACTAGGAAGCTCAAACATTTGGTCCATATTGAGCGCCATGCCAAAAATATGTGTGTTTATGGAGAACAGTCCAAACTGTTTTTTCATTCATTCATATTTAACATTTTCAGTATTTAACATGGATTTGTAAGAACCAAGCAAGGATGTTGATGAGTTTAAAGAGTGACATCATGTGGTAATTCCTTGCTACTGCAGTTAAGGGGATATGTCACCCAGTTTGTCATGATCTCTGTTGTATCTTATTCCCAGGCGTAAAATGTTGTGAAAAGTTATACTGGTACTTTATGCTTTCAGTGCATAACGAGAACCGCTGTTTAATCTGCATAGCATGACCTTCTGGACTAGGTGACTTGAGAAAAAGTCATCTAGAATTTATTTGACCATGCAAATTGGCTAATTACCCTGAAAGTATTTTGATGTGCGAAGAGAAAAAACATATAAATACAAGTTTTACGCATATGTCTGTAAATAAATCTTTAAAATAGTTATGTAAAGGTGAACCTATTGTATCTGTGGTTTCTCTGATCAAATACTGGAATCAAAAGCTGTGGGATGTAGATTCAATTTCAAGTAGGCCACCAAGTATCTGTTTATTTCTCAGTTCCACATCCTCTGTGCCCCCTTGGAGCTAACTTAGCTTATTGAATTACAATCGATTTAGAGAGCAAGTGATGAAGGACCTGATTGGATTCCTCTCTCTTCTTCATCTATTCATTCCTCTTGGCCAAAATACAATTTTCTGCTCTCATCTTATGGGGTCTGCACTGCCTCTTAATAGCTCAGTGCTAACACCCCAGGTCTCATGCTATAAGAGTGAAATTATCCCTTTTTCTTAAAATATGCTGCCAAGCCACTAAAAACACAGAATCTCCACACTTAAAGACCTGTGGATATGTAACAGAAACATGCATGCATGGTATGACATATTTTGAGATTTGGCTTTATATTTCATCAGCTGCTATGCAAGAAGTGAGACTTGTACACCACATGTACTGTATCTGTGCTGAAAGAGTAGCCTAAGCGTCCTGCTTGGGGTCTGATTGTCAGTATGTCACAGTTTAATTATTATTATTCAACTACAAACCAGAGCAGATGGCGAGCTATATGATTACAGGAAAATTCAGCCCTTATTAATTGAATGCTGGCAGGGAATCACAGATAGGCTTTCTGTATTAGCTCTCATCTGATAAGCAACCCCTGGCTAATGAATTCAATTAAAGCTTACTTAGAACTCATGTGTGGCTGATTTGCAGGACGGAGCACAGGAGTTCTCCCAAACAGATAGTGAATGATGTATGGCAAGGATGTTGAATTAGGGACATGTCCCTACCAATGTCCAGCGACTACTGAATTGTCCCTAGCAATAGGGAACTGTCCATCAGTTTCTAATGCATATGGTAGGCTACACAGTCAGCCAAAAATTAGCGTGAGAATAACATGATCCAAAAGGCAAAATGGATTTGGACTGCAGTAGGGGGTTTTTTCTCTGCCTGGTAGCTCTGTGTCGCTGCTGTCTCCGCATCCTTCTCACTAGAGTTACCTTTTCTCTGTTACGGACTGTCTAACTGCTCCAGAATGCCTCCTGCTGAAGCGGCTGTGAGCTGCAATTAACATTTGTGTGGATTTATGGTGGCAGTTATGCCTGATCAGAGGTGTTTTCAGTTAGTTTCTGGTTTCCACCTCCAAAGAAGAGCAGCGCTCCTGTCTCACCAGTAGACTACAGTCCCAAACAGCTGGTTCTGTGTCTGTCAGACGGGGGATTCTACCAAATCAGCACAGAAATAACTTAATATATAATAGAATATATAACTAAAGGCTAATGTACAGCAGAGTAGGCACATAGGACAGGTCGATTTTTATTTTATTATTTTATTTTGTGGGGTGGTGATGGTGCAGTGGATAAGACACATGCCTTTGGAGTGAGAGACCATTCAAATCCACTGTGATACATCCACCAATGTGTCCCTGTGCAAGACACTTAACCCGTAGTTGCTCGAGAATCGTGCGACCCCTGACATGTCTAGCAATTGTAAGTCGCTTTGGATAAAAGCGTCAGCTAAATGAATAAATGTAAATTTACATTATTAGCTTATGACCTTATTCTTGTAATATTATGCCTATGACTCTTCATCTCCCTTCGGTTCTCATGCATTAGTTCCTGTTGTTGACTGTGTAGTTGCTGTGGCTGCTTTCACACAGTATGTTGGTGTTTAAGTTTGCTGTGGTGTAAAACGCTCTCAGATTGTTGCTAATAACTATTGTAAGTTATCCTGGCAAATCAAATGACCACAAAACACATGAGTATCGCGCACCATTTAGTATGAAGTCATTATATGGACGGACCTTCTCTCACCATCCCTATGTAGGGGAGACTACCTTACAAAAACACTAGGCTATAGTTAGGGATGGGAATCGAGAACCGGTTCTTCTTCGGAACCGGTGCCCAGTGAATCAATTCCTTGGAACCGTTAGCACGCCTGCTTAACGATTCTACTTATCGGTTCCGCTTGTGGCAAATGCGTCATGATGTCACACACGCGCTGCATTGTTTTGGTTCAGAACGCAGCAAACATGGCATCGAGGCAGAAGAGCTCTAAAGTTTGGTTATATTTCACGTGAAAAGACGACAATACGGTCATTTGCAACACTTGTAAAGTTTCCATTTCGTCAAAGGGGGGAACTACCTCCAATATGCAGAAACATTTGGCCACACAGCATGCAATTCATTTGCAGGACTGTCGCGTGTTTGATACACTACTACTTAGCGACGCAAGTGAGTCAAGCGGCAGCGGAGCTAACGGGACGCCATCTGTTATTAATGCCGAAGGTAACTTTAAACTCTCCAGGCAGGACAGGCCCTGTCTACTTAGTTAATGTGAGCGCCATTTCATTGTGTAAACCTTTACTATACGAATAATTTTCATTGTCATTGTCCATCAAATTTAGATGATGATGAAGACGGCCAGAGTCTGGCTGGCTCAGAGGCTGCAGCAGGTAGCTCTGGTGCACCTCTAGCTACTCCGTTCACAGAGGTAGGGAAGAATAAAATGACCGAGGCTAGGATCAACGAATGTCACCGAGCAGTGACTAAGTTTGTGGTAAAGGGTTTGTACCCGTTTGCCACAGTAGATGCCTCTGCATTTCGGTAGGTTAATTTGCTGTATTTTGTCCAGCATGTCTTTTCAAATGAAAATAACAAATGCATGACCAAACGTTTCATGTTTTTATGTCAGTATAGTTGTTTTATTTATTCCTAGTCCTACCTTATATTTTCTGTAGGGAGATGATAAAGACTCTCAACCCAAAATACAATGCCCCAAACAGAGACAGTTTAACAAATCATCTGATTCCTGCTTGGTATGGGGTTGAAAAGAGCAATCTGATCACAGACCTGAAACATGTCACACATGCAGCCATCACAGCAGATGGTTGGACTAGTTTCAGTCAAGACCACTACTACTATTTTGTTTCAAGTTGAGTCCAAATGAGCACAGTTAATATTCCAAAAGGCACAAGCTCTTCCTTGACTGTTTTCAGTCTGTGTTTTTAGTTTTTATGGCACAAAATGGCAGTTGGGCTTAAAAAGCCAAACATTAATTTTTTTGTCTGGACCAATTAATGTGGAAATTAACAATTTCCTAATCCTAAGGCACTCTTGATAATCTTACAAGACACACACTAGCGTGCCATGGCATACTGGTTGAGAAACACTGCCCTAGGCTAAGGGTCCCTGGACTTTACTTTGAGAAGTAGCTCACCTACTTTTAAGCTTGTTCTAAGGTTGTTACACATAATTTGTGTATACTCTGTGCTGTGTCTTCTGATCAGAAATTAAAGCGAGTTAATACAAACAAACAAACTTGGAATTATGAGATGAAATGTAAAGACAGAACAACACCGTAATTTTAGCTGAAATCATTTTAATTTTAGCAGGAAACAAACATTATTGTCTTTGGGGGTTTGCCACAGTAACAACACCATAAATACATGTAATGCAGTCAAAAGTTGAACAATTATTTCATTGAAAAATGCATTTAAAAATTAACTGATCATGTTGTATTTGTGTGTGTATCTGCACATTGTTCTTCTGTGTCGGTTTTGTGTTTAAAGTAAAATTTGTTTAGGTTTTGCATGAATATACAGTATATGTATAGAGCTAGGAACCTGTTTTGCACCATCTGTTTCTATGTAACTTCTGTGTGTGCAAGTGGCCCTTTTTAGCTCGCTAATTTAGCGACTTAAAAAAACACCTAAAATGCTTATTTTCACAAAAATCAACGTTTCTTTATATATTTCAACTTATTTATTTGAAACAGCCACGCAAAACATCATTACGTTTCTAAGCCTACTTATAATTGCTATAATATACTTTCTGTAACACTCTTCCCCTCTCCAGCATAGAAACTTCAGACTAATCAAAACTGTTTCTACATGTCAGCTAGTTGTAGTTATAATGTAAGATCAGTAATTGTGACTGGCTGTAAAATTTTAGAGCGTTATGAAGCTCCATCCTTATTTGGCTCATTTTATATGATGGTCCATTTTAGCTGTCATCGGCCTGTTACTATAAATAAATATAAATACGCTATAAAGAATTACAATAGAAATATCACAAAAAATTATCAGTATTACTGCAGATTTTTTTAACGTACTGTAGAAAATTGCTATATTAATTCTATTGAGTTGGCTATGGTGATGTTATTGTGAAGTTCTAGTTATACTACACCGCTATAGTGTTTCCTGAAGTCTTACTATGGTTTTTCAAAAAATTACTATATTATAGGGCTAATATAGCTAATACAATAAAACAATACCAATAACAATAACAATACCAAAGCTGGTGAAAAATAAAATAGAACATTAGAAACTTACTACAGAACACTATACATTTCTTATGGTATACTATAGTAAAACTATGGTTACTTTTCGTAAGGGTGGGGTTGGTTGGCACACTTATCTCTGGCACAGATTTTGAATGTACAGAGAGTTTCTAACGTTAACAGAAAACCGGCTGAGACACAGGAGCTGTTAAAGTCCAGGAGTTTAAAAATAAGTAAAAACAATTAATTTATCAGTGACATACATATATGAATACAGAATTCCTGAGAGCCTAAGTGCTTTATATTCCATTTTATTTTTACATTTTGAAATGTGTCCCACCACCTGAGTTTCCCTTTACATAAATATAGATAAAGATATTTTCACCATAGACTGATGCAGAAAGAAATCACCAGAATTCAGGAACACGAAAATGATCAATAACCCCAGACTACTCCACGTAATATGCATGCTCTCTAAAGCTGAAACCATACTTGTTGCCCTTGTACTGAATGAATAAGCTTCTAAATGGCATCAGTGAATATTTTCTGATGTATCCTTTTGTGTGATGATCAACAAGTACTTCATAGAATTTGCTCAGTAAAAGCGTGCATGAACAATTTTTTAATCATGATGTTTAATTTTGGAACGAAAGTTGTCAGATGTCACATGACAACACAGAATGCACAGGAAGTGGTTCATTATAATTTCTGCTCGTTTACTCTTTTAGCTGTCTGTAGGTGTACATAAGAACTTGATAGGTGCCTGTACAGGGTTTCACAAGTTGTTACATTGCTTATAATCATGAACATAATCACCGTTCTTCTGTGTAAGTACATTGACAAACTGATATGTTTAACTATCTAATCATTTTGTATTTATAATTGAGTGAACCCTTGCGTGCAATTCTAAAGAGATTAAATGTACTTCTTCTCCCTTCAAGGTGCTATTGCAAATCAGGTCACAAGCCAAACTAATGGTGAGTTTTTGAGCACATATGTGTGTTGCATTCTTAGTGCAATTGTTTTGCAATGTGTTATTTATCAATACGATGTCTGTCTCTGTTTCAACAATTCAACGTTACAGATATTTTCCCTGCGAGGATCCTGGCCCAACAGAAAACCATAAGTGAGAACAGTGACCTTTATGTAACCTGCAGCACATTTGGGTCCAAGAAAGCCACAACGGTCCATGTTTATTTATGTAAGGATGACATTGGAATCACTGAAAAGATCCAGAAGCCAGATCAAACTGATACCACCTTCATCTTATCCAGAGTTGGCCTTAATCAGAGTGGAAGCTACAGCTGTGTTTACTCTGTGAGGAATCATTCGCTTTCCAAAGTAAACAAGAGAGGAGACAACATCATTCAGATTCTGGTTATAGGTAAGGATTTTCATTCCTATGAAAGCATCATGTCAGTGTAATTTCCCTGCACTCACTTAGTACTTCTGCCGCACAGCCAATTTTCTCCCTGCAGTTATTTCAGTAGCTGGGCCGTCCACTGTCGTTGAGGGAGACGCTGTTAAATTCAGATGCACTGTTACTGACACCCTGCAAACACTCGGTGAATGTCAACTCATCCAGGCTTACCTGAGGAGGAATGAGACCATCCTCCAAGTGCAAGCATTTAACGTCATGCGGTTGGAGGCGACTTTCACCATCGAAGGTGCCGTCATGAGGGATTCAGGTCATTACAGCTGCGTGGTGCTGCCATCTAAATGCATTCAAGAGCATGAGAAAACACTCAAAGGAAATAACACAGTGTTACTCGAGGTCAAAGGTGAGGGTGCCATGGAAGCATCTGGAGTTCTTACAGAAGTTTCTCAGATTTTTCTTTTCAAATGATGAAAAGGCTAAATAGCTGTTGAAACACAATAATGTTCATCATATAGCGGGGCTGACATGTCTGTTTTGCTTTCCAGGGAGTTTGTTTAATCAACTAATTGTCTCTTGTGGAGTGATAACCCTGGTGTTATCAGGACTATTGGGCCTGTTTCTGTGGAGGATCAACAAACCAGGTCAGATGATCAGAAAATCAAATTTTGTATTAAACGTCTGCTCTACTATTGACTGAAAAAAATGTTTCTAAAAACAAATCTGTATGAATTCAGATATAGGTTTTATTCTGTATGACACTGGCTCATCACACCAATCATTATATTACATATATACAAAATTACTTTTTTTCTTTTTCATTTCAACAGACTCCTCAGCTTTGTGCAATCCGCAGTGAGTGTTACTCCAACTTGAACAATGCAGCTTGATGAATCAAAGAACATTCCCAAACTTATTAATGGATAACATAACCTCAGAAACACTGAGTCATTTGAGTTTTTCATTGCTGTGCTCAAAATTGTTTACAGTGAACTAAAATAATACTGGATACATAACTAAATTGTTCGCATCAAACAATGCTGGGTTGATTAAAGGGTTTGCTTAAACCTTGAATTGTGTTTGCTCAGTGCGGCGAGTCAGCAGGCAAATACAGACATGTTGGAGAACCAACAGGGGCAGACAGAGGGAGAGGATCTGGAATCAGAAGATGGTATGTTGAAAATAGAATTACAGTAAAGGCATACTCTGGGGAGTTTGTAATGAATATGACTTGGAAAGAAAACATGTTCTGATCTGTTTAAATGCAAACATTTACACCTTTCTAATTTTCCCCTACTATCTCCTAACATAGATTAAAACATAAAATGCATGAAAGATCATGGCTTTTACATGTATTCATGTGGTCATCCTAATCACTGAAGAAGAGCAGGAACACCTCATATTTTGTTAATTATTATTGTCACTACATGTCTTGTGGTTATTGTGAAGAAAAGTGCTATGTGAAAAAATTGTGATTCATTATTTATTAGCACGATGTATACGAAAATATAAAGTGATGATAAAAACAATTACTCTCTTTTAATGATCTCTGCTTTATACATTTTACAAACTTTTTTTTTTAATTTTCAGAGGACTCTTTCAGCATGGAGGAGGAAGAAGGGTAAGAATATTGATCAATTTTAATTAACATGACTTAAGTTACTGTTTTATTACGTGATATTATGAAGAGTTAAACCACATGAGAAGAAATCACATTAGTTAAAGTAAACTGACCTCTGTTATTTAAAAATGGACAATTGATATATGAAGTGAAAATTTACAATCAAGTGACTTGACTTATATTTTAGAACTTTACTTTTACAGTTCAACATTAATTTTGTATTATCTATAGGATCCATAAACTTGAATTTAAAATGTGACAACACCTTTTATGGTGTGTACAATTCTTAATACAAAGACATTATTATTATTATTACTATTGTTATTATTATTTATTGGCAACATTTTCTCAGGTATCAGAATGTTTTGGCTGCTGAGGACTCTTACTCTGACGATTCTGAGGGAGTGTACAATGTTGCAGGTCAGTGATAACCTTCTTTGTGCTATTACAGAAGTCGTTTTTTATTGTCTATTGATGGTCAAATAAACTTTGATTTCTAACATACAGATGAGAGTGATGATGAGTACAATGACACTGATCAGGTGTATGCCAACAAATTTTGAGTGCTTAAGGTACTGTAAAATTGCTATTTCCTTATGCATAGTGAATAAAACACTCATCAAATGGACCATCAGCTTAGAAAGCACTACAATGCACGATATGATGCTGCCTTGTCATTTCAGAAGAGAAGGTTTTTCTGTCAGTGAGGTCAGCGCAACCACATCTTCATTTGTAGCAGCAGGGCAGATGTGAATAGCATTTTGTAGCAAGCTTTCAGACTCACAAGAGCTAAATCTGTCATGACAAGTGGTAAAATAGTTGAAACAACCAACGCATGCCTGAAAACAGATAACACTATTTAACTGTGAACTTTCCAACCACAGATGATCCACCTGCAAGAAATTCAAATTCAGCATGTTTGTATGCCACAACCTCCAAACGGAATAAAAACCAGATCCAGATCCAGGGCTCACCTGATTTTAACTTCACTTAAATGCACAACTGGAACACCTGCCTGTGTTGCACCCCTGTTTTGTTCAGTATGTGTCACATTTCATTAAAAGTAAGGTAGGGTCAGTATTTACAGTGAATGAATGACATTGTCTTCTGGAAGTGCAGTGGCTGTGGAACATCTGACCTCTGTTATCACAGTCCACCTGAACAGCAGTTTAGCTGCACAATGAACTGCTCCTTGTAGGAGAGCATAGAAAATGTTCTCAAACATTTTTGACAGTTTGGGTAAATTGCATTGTTTGGTTTTATTTTGTAATGAACAAAGTGGAAAACAAATCGTTCCTTGTCTTACATTTAATCAGAAACATTTGTTCTTTGTTGTTAAAGCCTATGACAGTTGAGATCTGAATATATAGTTGAGTTTGACACCAACCTTATTTTTTAGTGACACATTTGGATTGTATTTTGACATACTGTATATGCATACCATTTAAGAAGAACCACATGAGTGGTGGAAGAAGTACTCAGATCCTTTACTTAAGTAAAACTACCAGTACAATATTGTAAAAATATGTGATGTTCCTACTTTATCATTAAAAAACAGGAATCAGCTGTGTGCATTGATGTAAATAACTTGAGCCACCTGTGAGCCACGTTCATTGTTATTCTGGCAAGAGCTGGAAATGTATTATGTTCAAGTTTTTTTACAGTTGTTTTTCAGTCTGATGTAAGGTCACCTTCGGAGGAAACACTCCATCCCCCACATTGTCTGCCATTCAGCTTGAAAATGTTATAAAGTTGTTTCTTATAATGAGTGACAGCATTAGCAGCCTGCATTGAAAAACAAAATGTCTCGGTTAATCAGCTTTTCTAGGTGCTTGCAGTGCCTGCCAAACCTGAATCTGGAATGTGCCACACTGGTTTTCACACTGCCCTTTCTTAGAAGGGGTTGACCCATTGTTATTGTTACACAGCATTGAAAAAAGCCTCACACAACCAACCATTATCCTGATTGGAAAAATAAAATAACATTATTCAGTGAAGGCTTCAATATGCAACCCAACCTCAATTCCCCTTGACTATAGCTATGGACATGTTTAATGGTTGTATGTTTGTTTCAAATTTTTAAGAAATTTATGCTATTTAAGATGGATTTACATATTCATTTAATAATCAAGACTTGTGAGAGAGATTGATTTAAATAACCTTTATTCCAATTTATTGAGCTAAAATCCTAAACAACATGATTATGCATAATATGTTTGCATCTAGAGCAGGACAGAGTTTGGTGTCTTTTTATTTTTTGTTTGTTTTTATTTTCAACCATTTTCCAGGACATACAAATTTGAAAAACACAAGAGGAAGAAACATAATCACCACAACAGTAGCCAGAAAAGACATAAGTACATCAACAGAGTGGTAGTAATACCAGGGCAGTCTGTAGGACTCTGCTTTCAGGTGAGCTGCACCTTTGTGTCTCATAACAAACTCTATCCAGAAGAGGGCGGTATCCAGCGGCTTCAGCGGCTGATCTCTGTGCAGCCTGGAGAGTCTCTGCATGTTCATCTTGTAGGAAGGCTCATTTAGAACCTCCTGTATGGCCTTAAGGAAGTTGTCGTCTTTGTCCAGTGTATTAATGGTTAGAAGCTTAGCCGCTCCTCTCTCTTTCAGTCGCAGCAGGTTGTCGTATTGGTCGAAAAACAAAGGTACACCCACAACTGGGACTCCATGATAAATAGCTTCTTGAACTCCGTTTGTTCCTCCATGAGCCACAAATACTTTTATCTTGGGATGTCCTAAAAGATCATTCTGCGGCATCCAGTCTACTATTAAAGTGTTGTTGCCCAGAGTGGCTGGTCTGTCACCTCTATGCCTCCAGATGACTTTCTGAGGTAATTTGGCAAAAGCTGCAGCGATCTCATTTGTCAGGTCAGCAGGAAGTTCACTTACAAAAGTCCCCAGAGACATGATGATGACTCCGTGCTCTCCAGAACTCTGCACAAACTCCTCCAGGTGTTCAGGTAAAAGTTCAGCAGGTTTACACTGGAACCCTCCCATATAGATAACATTAGGCATGGTGGGACGAGGGAACTCAAACACAAAGTCCACTCTCATGAGCCAAAGGTCTGCTCCCAGTAATAAGTCACCATATTTTACTTCTGGGCCAAAGAAAGTATCACAAACAGCTTGATACTGAGGGCTGATTAAAAATTCATCTTGAGCTTGCCAAATGATATACAAAATTAGATTTTTGACTCTTTGTATGAAAGTCATTTTGTCTGACAGCCCTGAGCCAGTCATTGGGACATACGATAAAGGAGAAGGTGCAATGGCCAAGTGTCCTTCTCCACTAGTGATCCACCGCACGTTATAGACCAGAGGTAGCTTAAGAGCGTGAGCCAACATTATACCTGCACCCCATGTCGGGTCAGTCAGAACCAGGTCATACTTACTCTCCTTTAAACTTTTCATTAAGTCTTTGTCTTTAAACATGTTAGCAGCCATTTTGCAGGTTATTCTATGCATGTTAAACATGGCAATAAACATCTCAACCTGCAATCTTGCAAAGCTCAAAACGGAGCTCTCTCCCCTTTCTATGTCAATCACCTTTTCCACGATGGAGTTAATGAAGTCACGATTAAAGGCTTCAGTGACAGGAACTGTGATTGCCTTGTAGTGCAGAGAGTCATCCGGGATGTACCAGCTTTTATTGGTACGTACCACATCAACAGAGTGTCCTCGAGAGTGGAGAGCTTTGATCATGATGTCCATGTTCACCCAGTGGCTTCCTTCTAAAGGAACGATCAAAATCTTGCCTCCATGACTAATTCTCCATGACAAGAACACGATAGCTAATAGGAGAAGGAATTCTGCTTTTCTATGTGGGGACATATTTAACCTGAAAGAGAAAAAAATTATTTAAACATAATTCTTATTCGCTCTGGAAAGGAAAACTAGATATAAATGCCATAACAATATATTTTAATACAATTTTTTTACATGCACGTTTTCCCTTAACAAGGATAAATTTGTGATATAAAATTACATGCAAGATTGAGCGATACCTGTTTTGCATGAAGTAGTTCCGGGCATGTGTGCGCTTAGATGCTGAAAATGAAACACCAAAGGCACCACTGAATACAACTAGAAAATCCAGGAAAGCTTACATAAGATGATAATCTTTTGGGCAATTTACAACAATGGAGCCTCTTTGTTGAGGCTGTGGGCAGAATTGTGTTACAGCTGCGTATTTGTCTCCACTTTATTCTAAGTATTCAGTGTTCAGTGTTTCATATTTATATTCAGTGCTCTTCTTAGAGGAGAATTTTTGAAGGTATGCTCATACAAAAGCTTTAAGATGTAAAGCCTTTGATCCTTTGTGGAAGAGCCATGGTGATCTACATAATATTGTGTTCCTCAGATCATTGGCAGCCAATGGTACTGACAAGCCAAAAGCAATGCCTTATTGCAACTGTCCAGGATTGTCTTTCTACTTGACTAGTTTCATATATTGGGGCGCCAGTAGTTCAGTTCATGGGGACTTGGCTTGGGGACTGGAGGGTCGCCGCATTGAGCAGCAGAGAATGTAGCAGTAACTGGAATGTCAATCACCAACATGTTCGTGCCTGTCTTTCCTTTGTTTGTTTCTTTAATCTGTAATGTGAAGACATGGCCATGCAGAGGCAGTGCTGGCTCAAACAAGGTTGAGCTGCTCAGCAGCTAGAGCACAGAGACTTCCTGTTTCTAGGAGATGTGGTAGTGCAGCCAGTCTAAGTCTAAATGACCTCATCTGAGGTCTCGGCATGCAACATCAATCAAATAACAAGTCAGATTTGCAGTTGTTTTAAGACCTATTTTTCACTTTTGATAGAACTAGTTCTTTGTGCTAAGCTAGGTTAAAACCCACAGTCTCTCTTTACTGATCTGTTACTAAGGATCGGCCTACACTTTAACTTAAGAATGTGGCATTTGCCCTCAGGCAGAAAGGAAGTGAAATTCAAGTCCCAGCAAGAAAATCCACCTCTGTTTCCCACGTCAAGTAGAATGAAAAGAGAAACTATTTAACCATGTGTGTCACTGAAAAGGAGTGCCTGAGCTGCATGCACTGAATGATTAAACCGGACTTTACAGGGTTTTTTTTAGAGACACAGGTCTTTTATTAGAAGGAATATGTGGTTATATTGTATATATACCCTTGTTCATACTCTTGCACACATTTCACATTTATATACAAGACTGTTCTCCAGAAAGAACTTTGCAGACTGTTGCTGATGAGAGGATATGTACAATTTGTGAACCCTCACTTTAATATGAATTATGCCCCGGAGATAAAGTGGTTATCTTTCCAAATGCTAGATAGTGGATAGGCAGACATAGAGTAGGATGTAAAATGAGAATGAAGGTTTGCTCCTATCTGTTGTGTGTGTGTGTGTATTTGTTGTGGGTGGCGAGCTGGCATATAATTGCACAATTGAAATTAATTGGATATGCTGTATCCTGTAACCTGCACAAACACAATGGCTGAGACTTTTATCTTAAATGATCCTGTCAGGACATGTTTTCTTGCCATTTTGTATCTAGTAATCTCTACCAGACCCTATGGTAAATCTCCACTCTGTGATGCCAGCAAGTAAAGTTGGTGAAATACATGCATTAAAATGTATTGATGTATGAGACAAAAATGCATTTTTTTAATTATATGGACTACATCAATTTATTCTTTTCATTCATCTTTAAAATTAAATACAGGATTTAAAATCTTAAAACAAAAAGCTTTTCTCTGTGAGATATAGCCAGTTCACAAGTTCCAAAAGCAGCTTGATCACTGACACAGCTGTGGCTTACAGAATGACTGTAGGTAAGAGGAGCTGGACCGTATCTGAGAGGTCATCTCAGTATCTCAGTTGTTCAAATCTCAAATAAAACGTAATGAGCTGTTTAGGGGCTTTGCCTCCATTTGTGGGTAGCTGAATGGTAGTTCTTAGAGGGTACTTCCAGCATGAATAGGGACGATGATGTTGGCCCATTTGTAAATAACCGGGATGAAGAGGAGGGCAGAGCCCAGGATTGACACCAGGAGGAAGGCCCAAAGAAACATTCGATCCAGGACCTGGGCTACAAACTTCCAGTCTTGGACCACCTGAAACAAAAAAGACGCATGTGGCAGTCTGTAGACATTCCCAATAGTTATGTATAGAGACATATATAAACCATATATATACCATACTGACCATGTAGTGAGTGAGTATCATACAGTAATCTATCTTGTGAGGTTTATCAAAGTGTTCGTCATAATCTGTTGTCTTTTTAAATAAAAACAAAGAATGGGGCCAAAAGTTATTGTTTATGTTGCTATTAACCATTTTTATTATTACCTACAGATGTACAAATACCCAAAATCCAACATACTCACCTCTCTGACTTCATTTTCTTTAACCACATGCATGGTTATGTAGCGAATAGAATCTAAAGCTGCTTGTAGGTTATGTCTGGTGTAGAGGAGAGGTGTCAGTTCAGGTGCTGAGTTCTTCATCATACCCTGTCCTAATGCTCCTCCTGCACTGGCCACTCCGGCTGTGGCGTAACGGTCCACATGGCTGCGCATGCACAGCAGTTTAGGCAGTCGATGCAGGAAAATCCTCCTCACCCAGGGTGCCATGCCATGATGTGTCGAAGAGGAGCGATGGTGGATGTTGATGGCAAAGACGGTGATGATGATCGAGAGCGTGACAAAAATCATGGTGAAGACAAGGTATTCCCCAATGAGAGGGATAGCCTTTGAAGAGGAGGGGATGATCTCCTCAATGACCAGGAGGAAAACTGTGAGCGACACCAGGACTGAGGTGCAGAGAGAAATCTTCTCACCGCCGTTGGAGGGCAGATAGAAGACAAGAATGGTGAGGAAGGACAGGCCAATGCAGGGGATAATGAGGAAAAGGGTGTAGAAAAGAGGCAGCCTCCGGATGATGAAGAAGTAGGTGATGGTGGGATAGGAAGAGCTGCCGTCTGTCCTCAGACCACGGCTGCCTGTGGCCGTCACTATCTCCCATTCACCGTTGTCAAAATAGTCCCGCTTGTCCACATGGAAGTCCTCCAGAATGATGTCCACCTGTTAAATACAGTGAAATGTCATTTCGCTCACTGGTTTATTACACTAGTGTACCGTGCATGTACTGGGGAGCAGAAACTCACATGGGAGCCATCATATGTCCATGAGCCAAACTTCATTGAACAGTTCTGGAGGTCAAAAGGGAAGAAGGTGACATCAATGGTGCAGGCTGACTTGTAACTGGCTGGTGGTGTCCATGATATGGTTCCATCATACTTTACAACAGCCTTGGTGACGGTCCCCTCAAAACGCCCATCTGAACTGTTTAAAGAAGTTACATTTATTTATAGCTAGATTAACTTATTTTATAGTCATTGTTAGAATTTTATTTAGATCAACATGTTTGCATTTCAACAAGTGATACATGGTTTACTTACTACACAACACTTTTTTTCTAATACACTATTATCTGACTGACTATCAGGATCAGTGACGATCCTATTCATTTTCGAAAATGGAAAATGCATGACATCCATGTCATTTCCTTCCATATATAATGACACATACTTATCATACAGTACAACGTCAGGGAGCCAGATCCTGTCAGAGGGGACTCGGATGATTGTGATGCCCAAGTAGTCATCAGGGTTCCATCTGAGTTTCATGTCACTCCACTCCTAAGTAAAGGGAACATTGGAAATTTTATAACACGTCATCAAAAAAATCTACACATAGGGGTTTTATAGAAGGTTTGAAACAGAATATTGGCTGTCTTGCCGAGAGTTAGATGAGAAGACTGACACCACTCTCAGGTCTATACAGTAAATATGAAGTTCCCGCCAGCAGCTTAGCTTGCCACAAAAAATGAAAACAGGGGAAACAGCTAGCCTGGCACTTTAGTAACAAATGTGCTCACCAGAATCTCTGTGTGTACTAATTAACACGGTGTATCACTGTGTGTAGCATGAAGGGACTATAAACCTTTTTGTTTTACCACCTTGTGTTGTATAATGATAATTAAACAACCTTGTACCTTGTACTTATTTCCTTTGCTAGCATATCATATTTTGGCCAACTGCAGGCCACAGAGAAGGTGGCATGGACAAGCAACAAAATGTACTGTCATTATTAGATTCCCAACTATCAAATCAATGTTATTTGGTTAAGACATGCTATTCATGATCCTTGTGATAGAATAATCTCAGAGAGAGTAAAAGTGAGCCAGTGTGTGAAAAAAACTTAAACTCAAGATTCCTTTTCAAAAACATAAAAATGGAGGTGAGACACATGTACAAAATCTGAATTTGAAAATTTTGCAAATGACACATGATAAATACACATCACTGCTGGGGCCACTGTCCTTCCAGCTCTCTTTTTGCATGATGAAATCCATCACTTTGAAAGGGAGCAACTGACCTGAATGGCGGAGCCTGGTCTGTGGGGATAATTTGCATGAGAACAATGCATGACAGGCAGGACACCCAAGATAATGAATAAGGTGGACAGGAGCAGGAGTGGGAAGGAGGCGGCTTGAGGAGAAAGATGTGTGGGCACAAGGTTGAAAGGACTCATATGATGAGGATGGCCAGTGAAATGCCACCACACCAGATTAAAAAGGGGTTTGGAGAGGCTGACTTTTTGTCTCCAAATGCCATGTAAGCCAGAGGTTGAATTAGAATTTCCATTGCCTGCCATAAAGTAACTCTAAAAGCCATACCCTATCCCACAACCTTACCTGCATGTTTTACTGATGATAGTGACATTTAATGCTGCGTCCATGTATAGCTCTACTTGCCTGTTTCATCCATACATTCGTTGTCATTCGCTGATTTTTCTCATCCTAGAATGGTGAAACAACAATGTTTAAATTTGAAAAGTTGCTGAGTTGAAACATTTTTATATAGCAACAATTTAAATAGCATTCTGTCTTTCAACCTGACTATGTTTTACAGTCATGTACTGTAGTAAACACCTCAGTGACACACATTCATAAACAGTATCAATAATCAGTGCTTTTCTATCCTCACCACATCAACTAACTGGGAGATGGCGAGTCCAAACTTCACACGGATTGTCTGGTTTAGGTATTCCACTGGACGAACCCATTTCTGGTAGTTTCCAAAGAGGTATTTGAACAGCTTGTCCTCTGCTTTTGCACAGGAGGAGAGCTTTGGAATCCCTACAGTGTGTGAAAAGACAAAATTATTACAAGTTTCTATTAACTTACAGATAATTCAACAAATGCAACAGCACCTTTGATGTATTCTGTAGTCCCATGTATTACAAAAACTACATTACTAGCATTGCTCTCAAACAGTACTGCATTCATCTCTTTGACCTTACTAAAGTGTTATGTCTATTGTTTCTAGAAACGACCTCTGTGGTAAAGCTTTGGTTTCAAGAGGCAGAGCTTTGACCTAAACACGCTTATTACACTTATATATAAAGGCATTAAGAGTCCTTAAGACATACATATAATGTATGAAAGCCTGAAATTCAATGCCATAAAGACTAGCTTTGACACCTGTCTGCTAACTATCAGCAGTAGAGAGCAAGGGTATTCTTTGATCAATTAGTTAATGTAACTGAGCCACTTTTAAGGATTATCTTCAATGTAGCAGTCTCCAAACTAGAGGCAACATATTTCAACATAATTCTGTTTTCTCTCAGTGCTGTAGTCTGTCGACCTAACAGTCTCAAAAGTCTCGTGCCGATGTTGTCACTTGTTATTATACCAGAGCTGCAACAGTTATTCTACAAAAAAAGCACTTCAGAAACAATGCATTGCACACAGATTTGTTGGGGAATTTTTAAATATGGAATAAAAGCCATGAGCTACAGGTCAAAACACAACTTGGACTTTGGATTGATGGTAGTGACAGAGGAATTGTTGTGTTCTCTGTAATAATTTCATTAAAAAAAGCACATCCGTTCATTAAAAACACGTCCTGACCAGTAGACATATGTAGTTATGCCATTAAGTGCAGGTAAACGAGGAGTATAAACGACCAATCTTTCTGAGTTTTATTCAGCAGTGAAATTGTTCTATTCACAGTCAAACTGGGGCATTGTTTTGCTGAAGCAGGGCTCCTATACAGTGTTGAAAATATTGATTGCGCACAATTTCTTTCATCCTGCTCTTTAAATCATTCACCAACGCGGTTATAAATTCAATTTATGGATATGGCTGGAAATCTACCACAAGACTGACCACAAATGTATGGTGTCATCCTCTCAGTGTGTGTGGATCGATAAAGACAAGGTTGCAACACCCTCAATCAATGACTGTGTGATAAGCAAATTCATCATCTCTTGATCCTCTCCCTCACTATCACCAGCATTTTGCACGTCTCAGAAGCAAGCTGCAGAGTCTGCCGGATGCTACATGAATCTGTTTTAGAGCATGTATCAGAAATGTAAGAATACACAACAATAATAATAAGGTTAATAAAGGAAATGCCTATTTACATCCCATGCTGAGTAAAATTGATATTTAGCACTTTGAGATTTCCCTGAAATGTAAAGTGCATTATAAATAAAATTTATTATTATTATTATTATTATTATAAGTCTTTCCTGCATTTTCAAGGAGACCTGGGTGCATTCTTGCTGTTGTCTTCTAGGTGCAGAGGGCAGTATGATAAAAAGTAAACCACTATGTATACATGGAAGATAATGTACGTGTGGTATGCTACCCTTCAGATCAAGGATTACCTTGAGATCAAAGAGAGAGAATGAGAAGCCAATAAAAGGTATAATAGAAAGCAAAAACCCCCAACAACATAAGGTACACACATAGAAACACTCATGCTGTACACATACAGGACATAATGTGTACATACACTCACCAATAGGATTATTAGGAACACCTGTTCAATTTCTCATTAATGCAATTATCTAATCAACCAATCACATGGCAGTTGCTTCAATGCATTTAGGGGTGTGGTCCTGGTCAAGACAATCTCCTGAACTCCAAACTGAATGTCAGAATGGGAAAGAAAGGTGATTTAAGCAATTTTGAGCGTGGCATGGTTGTTGGTGCCAGACAGGCCGGTCTGAGTATTTCACAATCTGCTCAGTTACTGGTATTTTCACGCACAACCAACAAATTTCTAGGGTTTACAAAGAATGGTGTGAAAAGGGAAAAACATCCAGTATGCGACAGTCCTGTGGGCGAAAATGCCTTGTTGATGCTAGAGGTCAGAGGAGAATGGGCCGACTGATTCAAGCTGATAGAAGAGCAACTTTGACTGAAATAACCACTCGTTACAACTGAGGTATGCACCAAAGCATTTGTGAAGCCACAACACGCACAACCTTGAGGCGGATGGGCAGCAGAAGACCCCACCGGGTACCACTCATCTCCACTACAAATAGGAAAAAGAAGCTACAATTTGCAAGAGCTCACCAAAATTGGACAGTTGAAGACCGGAAAAATGTTGCCTGGTCTGATGAGTCTCGATTTCTGTTGAGACATTCAGATGGTAGAGTCAGAATTTGGCGTAAACAGAATGAGAACATGGATCCATCATGCCTTGTTACCACTGTGCAGGCTGGTGGTGGTGGTGTAATGATGTTTTCTTGGCACACTTTAGGCCCCTTAGTGCCAATTGGGTGTGCATCCCACAAATCTCCATCAACTGCAAGATGCTATCCTGTCAATATGGGCCAACATTTCTAAAGAATGCTTTCAGCACCTTGTTGAATCAATGCCACGTAGAATTAAGGCAGTTTTGAAGGTGAAAGGGGGTCAAACACAGTATTAGTATGGTGTTCCTAATAATCCTTTAGGTGAGTGTACAGTATAGTGTACAGTACATACATACAAATATGTACACACTGTCATGGCAACAGCAGTTCCTCTCTTCCCCTCTCTCCAGCTAGTACATATGGTTCATCTCTGTGCTGTACTGTACAAACCGCTCCTATCATTCCTCACCTGCCCGCAACCTGTCACTACAGAGTTTACTGCCTCAGCTCATCACCAGTTCACCTCAGTATATGCAGCATAAACGACAGCTATCAGCTGCCTAATTATTTAAGCTGTACACATTTTTTTCTTAACTTAACTCAGTGAGTTGTTTCATCTTTGGTTACATCAGGCCTCGTGTCTGTTACCATGATCCTTCTGAAGGGTTGGCCTCAGTTGTCTCAAAAAATCTATTTAGCCTAGTACTTATAATCCATGTTTGTCCTGCCAATGAGAAAACTATAAACTTTCTGAAATCCACTGTATCTCTCGAACACTCTCTTTGTTTGTTGTCCCATGATCTCGGCTTATTCTCTCTGTTTCTCCTCCTTGCGAGGGCATAGAATTTAGTAGGGACTGTAGGGAACTGTCCCTACAAATAGCAAGCGACCTCTGAATTGTGCCTAGAAATTATTTTGCTGCCTGCTTTTTTCTGACCCTCAGCGACTTTATTTTTAAACAGCAACTAGCGACAAATCTAGTGAGTTATTCAAACCAACCTTGCGATGCCACAGGAGAACAGCGAGGCAGACAAAACAGGAGGAGGACATGGTGGGGTTGCAGATAGGCAGCAGACCTTGTAGTGATGAGATTGTTTCGTTCATCCACTGGGATGTTTTTATCGTCCCCGCTCACAGTAACAAGAAATATTTTCCCTTGTCTCCTAGTCCTTTCTTTTCACTCAAGACATCAACAGTCCCGGGACCACTCTTTCCCTACCCTGGCTGTTGATGCCTCATTCCAGATGTTTTGGATCTGTATCTTCGTCCTCCAGGGGATTCAACCTCTCCTCTTGTATTTCTCTCTTCCTTGTACGCATGTCTCTCCCTCTGTGTGTCTCTATTTCTTTGTTTATTTCTGTGTGAATGGAGTGCATGAGCTTTGCCACTTGTATGTTTGTGTCTGTCCTCTTTCCAGGTCTCCATGATGGGGAAGAGGTCATGTCATCCTATTTATCCATACTTTAGTTCTGCCTTATCTATTTATGCTCTTGCTCTTCCTGATGTTTCTTTAATTTTTCCCTGTTAGAGTTATTTTTTGGGGGGAGGGTATCCGAAATTGAGGGTCCAAGCATGGAGGGTGTCATATGCTGTACTGATAGAAAAGCCCCAACCATTTGTCCACCTGTTGATAACTACCTGCATGCCATATCAGAGTTATCATACTTACAAGTTTCCAAAGTTTTCATTTCAACAACCAAGTCATAAATGTGATTGGGTAAGTAGGATCTCTGGTACTGCCCTAGAATGGTTTTCATCCTACCTGTCAAATAGGAAGTTTTGCGTGTCTGTAAACAACTATGTCGCTTCGTTCTGTCCAGTTAAATGTAGTGTTCCTCAGGGGTCGGTCTTATGACCCATTTTGTTTTCCTTGTATCTGCTTCCCTTTGGACATATTATCCATAAACATGGCATTTCTTTTCATATTTAAATTTATGCTGATGACACACAAATATACTTGCCCGTCAGATCCACAGACCCTGGAGTTCACTTAACAACTGCCTTTGTGAAGTTAAAAAATGGATGTCAAATAATTTCCTCCAGCTGAACTCAGACAAAACAGAAATCCTGGTCATTGGGTCCCAGCAGATGGCAAAACAAATACTGCCATCTGCTGGTTTCTTAGTAAATCACATTAAGCCTGTTGCAAAGAACCTTGGTGTTTGGTTTGATAGTCATTTAAATTTGTGTTTTCATGTTTTTATCAACTTAGAAATATAGCAAATATTTGATCTATGTTAACTTTTAAGGACACCAAGACTATTTTACATGCCTTCATCTCATCACGCCTGGATTACTGCAACAGCCTTTTCACCTGTTTAACCCAAAAATCTATTGATCGACTCCAGACTGTCCAGAACTCAGCTGCCAGGCTTTTAACCAGAACAAAGAAATATGACCACATTACTCCTATTTTAGCTTCATTACACTGGCTCCCAGTGTGTTTTAGAATTGACTTTAAAATTCTATTGATCACTTTTAAAGCTCTTCATGGCCTCTCACCTTGTTATATTTCTTACGTTTTAGTCCCATACACACCAGCACGTACCTTGAGATCCTCGGGCAGAGGTCTGTTGTCTGTTCCAGAGTCTCGACTGAAAACTAAAGGGGACAGAGCGTTTGCTGTCAGGGCCCCGAGGCTCTGGAACAGCCTGCCCGAGGAAATCAGGTCAGCTGAGTCAGTGAACTCTTTTAAGTCCCTTCTTAAAACATACTTTTATAGGAGAGCCTTTCCCGATCTTATTTGACTTTATTTTATCCCTTTTATTTTATTCTATTTTACTAATTTTATATTTATCTTAAATGTGTATTTTAGTCTTTTCAATGTTTTCTTGCTTTTATCTTATATTGTTTTTGTATTATTGTCTTTTGGGTATTATTGTATTTACACTTGTTAAAGCACTTTGTAACTTGTTTTTGAAAAGTGCTCTACAAATAAAGATTATTGTTATTATTATTATTATTATTATTATTATTATTATTACATCCAACCAAGGAAACATGGACACCTTACCTCAGCCAAATTTAAATGTAATTGAAGTCGTAATTATGGTTATCTTTCCCCTCTTTCCAACATGACCTGAACACTGCAGCATTAGTCCATTAATATCTTGGTCTTTTGCATTACTGATTCTGCATTATGTAGCAAGGTAAAATCATGTTAATGGTGAATCCCCACAAAGCCAGCAAAAGCACAAGGCCCAACTTTTGTCTCCCTATTCGTACTCTTTGGTTATTAGGTTTCTGGTGTTTAGGAGACATTGTAGGCAAGATGTTTACTTAAATGTTTATAGTCTTTCACTTATTAGCTATTAGAAATGTGCTGCCTGTTTGATAGCCATGGTTTTGAGCTCAGTGATCATGGCCTCCATGCAGCTGAAATCATTAATTAATAAATGGAAATCAAACTGTAAAATTTGATATGAGAGGGAAAGTGGTCACACTGACACCCATACTTTTAGTTTGACGCTAACTTGGCAAGCCCCCTTCACTTTTCACCAACCATCTGCCAGTATCTACTTCTTCTTTTTCTGTTTCTACATATCCGCTAGAGTCCAACTTATCTTCGACAATGCCATCTGTCATACTGAGGCTATTACATTGCACCATGGTAATTTGATGAGGCATTCCCGGTCCTTGGGAAACTTACGCAGTGAATGGCACAGGTGGCAGCAGCACAGCAATGGCAGCAGCAGCAGCAGTGCGAGCGAGGTGGCTGCCCCTCCTGCTCTCAGCATCATATCAGAGGTGGCAGTAGATCCACACAGCTGGTCCCTCAAGCATCACAGAGCTGGAAAATAAGTATTAAAACAATGGTTATTAAAAATGGTAGATTTTGTGTACACTGGGCAAATATCTAAACTATTAGAGCATGGCTTTAATCCTGCTTTAGGTTAAGGGTTCAAATCCCAAGGCTGTCACCCCTGCTCCCCTTTGGTGAAGCTACATTCAGTCACAGCGATAAATTTGTCAATAGGCTGTGTAAAGCTAAAAAACAACAACAAAAAAACAATCCTGGTGTTGTCCGTACTACATAACAAACTGTATTAATCACACACTTTTAATGTACAGCTTCCCGCACTAGCCAAGAATGCAACCTACCCTCACCTTGCTAACCTGACCCTCTCCAAGGTAATTATTACATTTCAAATAGTAATCACACAAAGGCTGTATACATACCTACTCTGAGTGTCTTCCATTAATACCCAATCCAGAGTGACAGTGGTGGTGGAGGCAGTGGGAGTCTTGACAACAGCGACAGTGCTGCTCTAGCGCTCCTCCATTTCCATGCAGGTTCCTTTCTCTCGCCTCATAGAGATGCTGCTTCACTCCCTGCTGCCTCCAATTGTGCACATGCAACGCATCCTAATCTCCTCCTCCTCCTCTTCCTTCAGAGAGCCCGCCCGTTTCCCCCTCCCCTTCTCCTAGCATTCCCGTGGTCACTAATCATAGACAAGGATAGTCGCCCCCTCCATGCAGCTGCTTCCATGGTGACAGTATTTTGTGGGAACCAGAGATGCTGTATGGTATTGGGATTGGGATTGTATGTTTCATAAAATCTGAAGTTGGCTGTGAGCAAATACACCGCAAAAAAACCCCCCATATAAATTGAATATTATACTAACATACGATCTGTGTAATGATACTAATACTAAACAGTAACACTAGCTGTGGCTCAAGAGAAAGACTGGGTTGCCTGTTAATATATCAGCAGTTCAATCAGAAGATCAGTGGTTCAATTCCCTGGCTCCTATGCTGCATGTCGAAGTGTCCTTGGGCAAGATACTGAACCCTGAATTGCTTGATGGCTGTTCCTTCGGTGTGTGAATGTTAGTTTCCATATGAGCGCTTAGGCTCAGTATATGATTGTGTGTGAGTGGTCGCAAGGACTAGAAAAGTGCTATACAGTGCATTAAAACTAAAAATTTCTGTGTTCAGTAAATTATGCAACTTTCAAAGAACATAGTTGCTGATATCAAATTGATTTTAATGGGCTGCAAACACAAGTTGTGTTTGTCAATAATGGTAATTTAATTGTATTATTCAATGGAAGCTTAAAACAGCCTGCATAGCCTACTGTAGGAGTGACTAAAGAAGATCCAAATAAAATAAATGATGCCAACTCAGGGTCACTCACAATTTGGGTTATGCTCTCCTGTTAGCAGAAAGGCTTGCAACCTGTTGTGTAATCCTTTCATTCACTGCCAAGTGACACATTGATTGTAAGCAGACAAGATCGCCATATTGGCATCTTGTGTTGGCATGGTCTGATGAGGTTAGGATTAGGGTTAAATAAACAAATAAATGATCATGAATGAATGCATAAAACACATAGTTACACTTTGAAGATGATAAATGACTTGCTAATTGTGACCCTGTGTAGCCTATGTCAACATATTGCTTCTGAATGTTAATGCCCAGACCCCATCAATCAGTAACTTCCTTATCACTGGTGTTTCCACACACTGTCAACAGTTACTGTTCATCTACAGTGAAACAACAGAGTAAACGTGCTCCTCCCTTTCACTGGTTCTGAGCAGTTCTCTAAAGCAAGTGTAGGCTATACTTTCCGCGTCGGCGACTACATGTGACGAAAAAATCGTCATACTGTCCGGATGCCCGCATGCCTTCCTTTTTTTGTGACTGTCCTCTGACACCAGACATTAGTATAAGGACCATATATCAGCTGTCAGTGTGCGCGATCGCTCCAGAGTAAACATGTCTTGTGTGCAGTAACAGGCTACAGTAAGTGGGAACGTTCTGTGTTAAGGTTTTTTTTTATACCGTAGATGGGTTTGTATAAAACTTTACCGCTGTAGTTCCTAAATTAAATTTAATCTTGCTGTAGTACAGCGTAGGCCTATTTTGCAAAAACGATTAGAAACTGAGCCTACCTTCAGTCTAATCCATCTTCAATCTAATCAACATTGATTGCTGACTTTTAACTTGACTGGAACGCTAAGTGTAGCATAGTTTTCTGACAATTTTTAATGTGGAGCTGATTTAAAAAAAAAATGAAGTTGCAGTGGAAAATAATGGAGGTACAGAATCAAAGAAATCATGAAAGTAAGAAATAATAGTTGTCCTATAAGAGAGTCTGATGTTTCATACAGCATGGGCAACTTGCAACAACATCATTTAAGCATCATGTTAATGTTTTGTGTTGACTGAAGGTTTCACAAAAAGTAAGAGTAAGAGTATAAAATTGTTACAGTTGCCTTAGGATCTTAATACATTGGGTGCATAGCCCAGCCCAGAAATCTTCACATTTTCACCTTTGCACACCACCACCTGTCTACCAAAAATCTGCGAAGCAATAAAAGTCACTAGATATCAACTGTCTCATTTGCTGTTGCTAACTTGTTATGCCATGTGTCTAATTGAATAAACACCTTTCTCTCTCTCTTCTCTCATGCTCACTCTAAATGCAGGCATGCAGTGTTAGGTGAATTTCAATCTACTACTTGGACAGAGGACCCAATGATATCATATTATTTCAAGGGCTTTAATGCATGGTTGGAATGATAGATAAATAAATAAAATAATAAGATAAATGTTCTTTTTAGTATTATTTTTTATGTTAAAAAGCTTTTTGAGATCCAGGGATTTTCAACAGGCCTATTAATGCCTATGCAGTAGTCTACAATTCCACTGTAATTGGATTTTTTTCAATTGTTTGTCCGTTGTTTTCATTTCAGATGAGGCTGATCTGCTCTTGCAGTGCTTTGCTGCTTCTTGTCCTCATTCCCAGAGTCTGTCAAAGTGGAAACATCTTGGTCTTTCCAAGTGATGGCAGCCACTGGATAAACATGGATATCCTGCTTCAAGCTTTGCACTCCAGAGGACACAGTATAACTATTTTACACTCCAGCAAAAGCTGGTACATCAAGGATACATCTTCTTATTACAATACCTTTACAGTTCAAGTGGAGAGGAACTTAGATCAGAAATATATTACAGAAATCATGACTAAGTTTGTTGAATTTGAAAAGGGGGATCTTCCCTTGACAAGTTTTCTCCACACGTCTGTAGGAATGTTGAGCATAATTTTCGACGTTCACGCAGTTGTGGGTGAAACTGTATCAGCAATACTAGATGACCAAGAACTGATGAGAAAGATGAAGGACAGCAAGTTCGACGTAATGCTCACTGACCCGTGCTGGGGTGGTGGAGTCATTTTGGCCAAATATTTGAACCTCCCTTTGGTTTATAATGTTCGCTGGCTACTAGGTGAGGAGGGTCACCTTGCTGTTGCTCCTTCACCTTTATCATATATACCTATAACAGGATCTGGCTACACTGATAAGATGAGCTTTTTTCAGAGAGTTAAAAACATGGTTTTGCATTTAATAAACTATGCACTAAATCACCAGTTAAAGCAAATGTACCAGACAATATGTGATAAATATCTCGGGCCTGATTATGACTATAACCAGTTAATGCTTGACGCAGACCTTTGGCTCATGAGAGCGGACTTTGTGTTTGAGTTCCCTCGTCCCACCATGCCTAATGTTATCTATATGGGAGGATTCCAGTGTAAACCTGCTGAACCTTTACCTGAACACCTGGAGGAGTTTGTGCAGAGTTCTGGAGAGCACGGAGTCATCATCATGTCTCTGGGGACTTTTGTAAGTGAACTTCCTGCAGACCTGACAAACGAGATCGCTGCAGCTTTTGCCAAATTACCTCAGAAAGTCATCTGGAGGCATAGAGGTGACAGACCAGCCACTCTGGGCAACAACACTTTAATAGTAGACTGGATGCCACAGAATGATCTTTTAGGACATCCCAAGATAAAAGTATTTGTGGCTCATGGAGGAACAAACGGAGTTCAAGAAGCTATTTATCATGGAGTCCCAGTTGTGGGCGTACCTTTGTTTTTCGACCAATATGACAACCTGCTGCGACTGAAAGAGAGAGGAGCGGCTAAGCTTCTAACCATTAATACACTGGACAAAGACGACAACTTCCTTAAGGCCATACAGGAGGTTCTAAATGAGCCTTCCTACAAGATGAACATGCAGAGACTCTCCAGGCTGCACAGAGATCAGCCGCTGAAGCCGCTGGATACCGCCCTCTTCTGGATAGAGTTTGTTATGAGACACAAAGGTGCAGCTCACCTGAAAGCAGAGTCCTACAGACTGCCCTGGTATTACTACCACTCTGTTGATGTATTTTTGTTCCTGGCTGGAGTTGTGTTGCTCGTGCTTTTAGCTATTTTCATTTTGATGAGGTGTTTGTACACTACAGTGTGTAAGCATAAAGTGAAACGTGATTAATCATTCAAGGGATACACATGTTGTACATTAAATCAATATGAAGATGGATTTGGCAGATTTTTAGATTAATATCAGAATTGTTTCACTGCCCATTTTGACAGCTGCTAATTTTAATAAAATATTTTGCAGCATGTTATTTTAATTTGTATGATCATCTTTTAGTAAGATATTTGAAAGAACTAGGAATTAATGTAAAACAAGTTGTTCTCTAAATGGGGTAAAAATGTAGCTCTATTAAGTGAAAGAGATTTCACAAGCTCTGTATAGGTCCGATTCAACCTGGAGAAGCTAAAATATGTTTTCTGACTCATTCTTAACTTCACTTTCTTCCATGTGTAGTGAGCGATTTTAACTTACATGTACACATTTGACTTCAGTTGTGTTTACACCTCCAACCACCACGTGGTGCATCTTTCTTTTGACATAGGCTAACACCTCAATCGACATAAAAATTCAGTTAGATTCAGGTGTTTCTGCCTTGTGACGGTGAGAAGCAGTTTTTGAAGGTGCTCATGCCACACCGAGCCACAGGGCAAAATAATCTGTAACACAAATCTGTGTAATAGGCCTACAAAACACCTTGAACAATGCACCATCTGTTTCTTTCAACAGACTGATCTCTATTGATTGCTATTTGGGATCACATACTCTCAGTGGCATGATGATGCCATAAGCAGTAGACTAGCCTACACACGGAATTCTGATTGCTAATTCTCCAACACCGTCTGGACACATTTCTACAGTAAGGTAATAACAAGTTGTTTTTGTCAATAATGGTAATTCAATTTTATTACTCAATGGAAGTTTAAAACCGCCAACATAGTGACTAAAGACAAGAAGGATTAAGATCCAAACAGTGGAATGCTGCCAACTCAGAGTCACTGACAATTTGGTTTGTGCTCTCAGATTATAGCTGTCAGCACAAAGGCTTGCAACCTTCGGCGTCGCCAGGTCATTTCCCAAGGTTTTAGCCCCGAATGTAGCTCAACAACATCATCAAAAATATTTTCCCTATTAATATGCAACAATCTTATTAGGCAGCCTGTCTCGCAGGTCTTGGAAGAACTGAGGCTACTCGCAATAATATTGCTACACTTTGTTTGAAATTTTAGCTCCCTCCCTTAGAGACACCTCTGCTCTGTTTGACTGTCTCTCTGCTCCAGGATGCTTCCCTCTGAAAAGACTGTGAACTGAACTTTATCAGAGGTGGTGAAATGTGTGGATTTGTGGTGAGATTTAGCCTTGGAAAATTTTGTTAAGATATTATGACTTTATTCTTTATTCTGCATTATATTACACTATATTTTTATATTTTGAATTGTCACCAGTCACCTGAATTTTGTGTTTCCTTTATATATATAAATAAATACATTTCCTAAATAAATTGGTTCAGAAAAATTCATCGGAATGCAGGAAATTAAGTATTTTAAGTACACATTTTTCAGGGGGAAAACATGAAAGATTTCTGGGCTGGGCTAAGCCCCCAGTGTTTCAAGAGCCTGTAAACGCCCCTGCTTGCAACATGTTGTGTAATCCTTTCATTCACTGCCAATTGACACAAAGTAGACAACATTGCATTATTGTCATCTTGTGTTGGCATGGTCTGATGAGGTTAGGATTGGGATTAAATAAACAAACGGCCTAAACTATCATGTATGAATGCATAAAACACTATACTTTGAAGATGATAAATGACTGAAAACCATGGAACATATGATAACAGACAGATTAACATTCTTTCTAGAAAGCAGAGATCTGTACTCACCATACCAAAGTGGGTTTCGGAAAGGGAGAAATACAATGGACTCTATTTTATGTTTGGAATCTGAAATCAAAAAAGCTCAGACAAATGGGGAGATTGTGGTAGCTGTCTTTTTTGATATTGGAAAAGCATACGATATGTTATGGAAGGAAGGGTTACTTATCAAATTAAATAAATTAGGTATAGGTGGTAGACTGTACAACTGGGTGTTGGACTTTTTATTTGGCAGGGCAATAGAGGTCAGGGTGGGCACAGAATATTCAAGACTCTATAAAGTTGAAAATGGTACTCCACAAGGCAGTGTGTGTAGTCCAGTACTATTTAACATCATGATCAATGATATTTTTGAAAAAGTGGAAAGAAGTATTGGGAAGTCCTTGTATGCAGACGATGGGGCCCTATGGGTAAGAGGACGGAATTTGAAATTTATTCAGAAAAAATTACGGGCAGCAATTGTGGAGGTGGAACAGTGGGCAAATAACTTTTTAAGGTGTTGGGTGCAAAGACACAAGTGATATGTTTTTCCAGGAGACATAAAGAAGTGTCCTTAAAATTATATGATCAAACCCTCGAACAAGTAAAAGTTATCAGACTGTTAGGAGTGTTGTTTGATGAAAAGTTGACCTGGAAACAGCACACTGATAAGGTCAAAGACAAATGCAAAAAAATCAATAACCTTTTAAGATGTCTGTCAGGAAGGGACTGGGGGGCCACTACAACATTGCTTAAAATATACCAGACCTTGATGAGATCTACACTAGATTATGGATGTATAGCATATATCTCAGCAGCAGAATGCCATCTTAAAAAACTAGATGTGGAACAGGCACAAGCGTTAAGGACATGCAGTAGAGCATTTAAGACCTCTCCAGTGGCTGCCATGCAAGTGGAAATGGGGGAACAGCCACTAAGAATAAGAAGAACAAGAATTATGCTAACATACTGGGCTAATCTTCAGGGACACTGTAGCTCTCACCCCGCTAAGCCATCCTAGAAGAATGTTGGGAACACAATAAGAGCAGCTGTTTCAGTTTTGGATGGGTGGGAAATGCGAAAGCAGAAAGCCTTGGCTTGTGCAGTATAAAATATATCCCAGTAGTCCCATATCCAGATCTTCCTCCGTGGTTTTTTGTAAATCCATCCATTGACCTGCATATACAGCAAATAATCAAAAAGAAATCCAAGCAAGCACACACGGGAAGAATAGCAGAAAGTTACATAGAGCAGCACTATAGAGATAACCACATGGTCTTTACTGATGGCTCTAAAGATCCAGAGACCGGACAGACAGGAGCTGCCATATACATCCCAGCATACAAAATAGGCATTAAAAAGAGAACCCCAGATCATCTATCAGTATATACAGTTGAGCTTATGGCCATTTTGATGGCATTACAGTGGACAGAAGAAAATAAAGAAAGCAAGGTGGTCATTGCATTAGATAGCTGGGCAGCGCTCACCAGTATTAAATCTGTTAAGTCCTGTAGGCTGGATCTGGTATTTAGTATTCATAGTTCTCTATGTAGATTATATCATAAGGGCTGGACTGTCTGCTTTGTTTGGGTTCCTGCCCATGTAGGGGTAGAAGGAAATGAAGATGCTGATATTCTGGCAAAACAAGCACTTAAATCAAAGTCAGTTGATATACAAGTTCCACTAAGTAAATCTGAAGCTAAAACAATCATTAAAGAGAAAATGCAAAAAATATGGCAAGAACATTGGGAACTAAATGAAACTGGAAGACATCTTTACAGTATACAGAATCATGTTGGTCTGGGAAGAAAACTGGGTGGGTGCTGGAAGACAGAGACCGTCATTACCCGTCTAAGAATAGGACACACAGACGTTAACCATTCACTTTATAAAATAGGTAAACACCCAACTGGACACTGTGTAAAATGTAATAGCATAGAGACCATTCAACATGTGCTGGTTGAGTGTAGAGGCTATGTAGAGGCGAGGAGGAAAATAGCAGCAGTTATAGAGAAAGCTGAGCTTAGGTTCACTGTCGAGAACCTCCTTGGGGATAAAGCATGGGGAATATCAGAGCATCTCATTAAAAATCTGAAAGAAACGGGATTAATGGAAAGGATATAGGTTTTCAAGTTTTATTTATTTAATTTTGTTTGTTTTTTGTTTTTTGTTCTATTTGTTTATTTGGTTTTTATGTTAGTCTGCACATAATCTGTTCCACACTCCAGTCCGGTAGGTGGCGGTAATGCTCCTAAATGCTGGCTGCCAACCGCCAATCAAATCAAAAGAAGAAGAAGAAGATGATAAATGACTGACTAGGCTACCTGTATCCCGGAGTATTTCAAAATATAGGTTACTCTGAATGTTAATGTACTGACCCTATTAATCAGTAACTTCCTTATCACTGGTGTTTCCACACACAATGATGACAGTTACTGTTCATCTCCACCAAAACAACAAAGTGAACGTGCTCCTCACTTCCACCGGCGCTGTACTGAGCGGTTCTCTTTGCTGTGTGCAGTAACAGGCGACGGTAAGTAGAAACGCCACATGTTAAGGAGGTTTTACCGTTTGTATACTGTATGTAACGGGAATTTAGATGTCAATTTTGCTGCTTAGTGTGCTGCAAAGTGTGCTCATAATCCCGCTGCAGTTTGTAAATTAAATGTTAGCTTGCTGTAGTGTTTTGCGAAAAGTAGGCTAACGATTAAGTTACCAACTGAGCCTTAAATATCGATCTAATCAACATTGTGTGCAAGGAGCAATCAGACCCAATGTAACTCGACCACACGTCAAAATACCTGACATGTACTGGAACAATAGGCTAACTTACATTCTCTGAGAAATTGTAGCCTAAATGTGGAGCTGATTTCTTTTAAAATGAGTTGCAGTGGGAAATAATGGAGGTACAGTATAAAAGTAAGAAGGTTGTCCTATTAAGAGACTCTTACGTTTCATACAGCACAGGCAACTTGCAGAAGCACGTTGAAGTTTTGTGTTTACTTAAGTTTTTACAAAAAAAGTTAGTTTGAAATTGTCACAGTAGCCCAGGGACGTTGTTAAGATCTTGAAACATTGGGGGCTTGAGTGCGATTTATACTACTGCTTTGAATCGACGGCATAGCCTGACGTGCACTTCCTCAAAAATGTAACTACACGTGGTGCGACATGGACCATAAGAACTGTGGTTAGTCAGCTGGGTAGCCTTATGTGCCTCCCAACTGACAGGAAGTGGCCAGTGCTTTGAAGTAAATTTTACTAGTGGTCGGACGAAAGTCAACACTGCGATGCTGTAGCGGGGCGGTGTAATTGCAGAACGACGGAGACACCGACGCACAAGGTTAATGCATGTCTACGTGTGTAGCTACGCTGTAGGCTATGCACGTAGACCCGACGCAGGATTTTAAATCAAGCTTTAGCCCAGCCCAGAAATCTTAACATTTTCACCTTTGCACACCTCCACCCCTGACATGAAGCACACAGCCCAAGATAGTCTTCCCTACAAACAAAATCAAGTCTGTAAAGCAACAGTAAACGACCTCTACTGTTATCTACCCATAACAAATCTCACAACAACTTTTTTTCTGTCTCATTTGCTGTTGCTAACTTGTTATGCCATGTGTCATTGAATCATCACCTTGTCTTTCTCACTCTCTTCTCTTGTGCTCACTCTAAATGCAGGCATGCTGATTAACCTTAGTGTTAGTGTGACATAACGTGCAATCTGGTGCTTGGACAGACGCCTATGCAGTAGTCTACATTTCCACTGTAATTAGAATTTTTTTCAATTGTTTGTCCGTTGTTTTCATTTCAGATGAGGCTGATCTGTTGCTGCAGTGCTTTGCTGCTTCTTGTCCTCATTCCCAGAGTCTGTCAAAGTGGCAACATCTTGGTCTTTCCAAGTGATGGCAGCCACTGGATAAACATGGATATCCTGCTTCAAGCTTTGCACTCCAGAGGACACAGTATAACTATTGTACGCTCCAGCAAAAGCTGGTACATCAAGGATACATCTTCTTATTACAATACCTTTACAGTTCAAGTGGAGAGGAGTTTAGATCAGCAGTTCATTACAGAAATCCTATCTAAGGTCATTGAATTTGAAAGGGGGGATCTTCCCTTGACAAGTTTTCTCCACATGACTGTAGGAATGTTCAGCACGTTTTTCGAGGCTCACACAGTCGTGGGTGAATTTGTATCAGCAATACTAGATGACCAAGAACTGATGAGAAAGATGAAGGACAGCAAGTTCGACGTAATGCTCACTGACCCGTGCTGGGGTGGTGGAGTCATTTTGGCCAAATATTTGAACCTCCCTTTGGTTTATAATGTTCGCTGGCTACTAGGTGAGGAGGGTCACCTTGCTGTTGCTCCTTCACCTTTATCATATATACCTATAACAGGATCTGGCTACACTGATAAGATGAGCTTTTTTCAGAGAGTTAAAAACATGGTTTTGCATCTAATAAGCCATACACAAAATCACCTGGTGAAGCAAATATATCAGGCAATATCTGACAAATATCTCGGGCCTGATTATGACTATAACCAGTTAATGCTTGACGCAGACCTTTGGCTCATGAGAGTGGACTTTGTGTTTGAGTTCCCTCGTCCCACCATGCCTAATGTTATCTATATGGGAGGATTCCAGTGTAAACCTGCTGAACCTTTACCTGAACACCTGGAGGAGTTTGTGCAGAGTTCTGGAGAGCACGGAGTCATCATCATGTCTCTGGGGACTTTTGTAAGTGAACTTCCTGCTGACCTGACAAACGAGATCGCTGCAGCTTTTGCCAAATTACCTCAGAAAGTCATCTGGAGGCATAGAGGTGACAGACCAGCCACTCTGGGCAACAACACTTTAATAGTAGACTGGATGCCACAGAATAATATTTTAGGACATCCCAAGATAAAAGTATTTGTGGCTCATGGAGGAACAAACGGAGTTCAAGAAGCTATTTATCATGGAGTCCCAGTTGTGGGTCTACCTTTGTTTTTCGACCAATATGACAACCTGCTGCGACTGAAAGAGAGAGGAGCGGCTAAGCTTCTAACCATTAATACACTGGACAAAGACGACAACTTCCTTAAGGCCATACAGGAGGTTCTAAATGAGCCTTCCTACAAGATGAACATGCAGAGACTCTCCAGGCTGCACAGAGATCAGCCGCTGAAGCCACTGGATACCGCCCTCTTCTGGATAGAGTTTGTTATAAGACACAAAGGTGCAGCTCACCTGAAAGCAGAGTCCTACAGACTGCCCTGGTATTACTACCACTCTGTTGATGTATTTTTGTTCCTGGCTGGAGTTGTGTTGCTCGTGCTTTTAGCTATTTTCATTTTGATGAGGTGTTTGTACACTACAGTGTGTAAGCATAAAGTGAAACGTGATTAATCATTCAAGGGATACACATGTTGTACATTAAATCAATATGAAGATGGATTTGGCAGATTTTTAGATTAATATCAGAATTGTTTCACTGCCCATTTTGACAGCTGCTAATTTTAATAAAATATTTGGCAGCATGTTATTTTAATTTGTATGATCATCTTTTAGTAAGATATTTGAAAGAACTAGGAATTAATGTAAAACAAGTTGTTCTTTAAATTAGGTAAAAATGTAGCTCTGTATAGGTCCGATTCAACCTGGAGAAGCTAAAATGTTTTGAGTCATGTTTAACTTCATTTTTCTTCCATGTGTAGTGAGCCATTTTAACTTATGTGTACACGTTTGAGTTCATTTGTGTTTACACTTCCAACCACCAGATGGTGCATCTTTCTTTGGACATAGCACCACAATTGACACAACAATTCAATCAGATTCAGGTGTTTCTGCCTTGTGTTGTGTCAGAAGCATACAGCTCTTGAAGGTGCTTGTGCCACACCGAGCCACAGCCTTTGTTTGTGTCCAGTTTTGTGGCTTGTACTTTTTGTGGAACATTTGAACAGGAAACATACTAGGACAGTTAATGGTGAGCTGTAAACAACCGTACAATAAATGAACTGTTTATCTACAAACCTGGAATTTATTGTAAGCTCACCTTCACTACTATATTTCACAGTAGCAAATGGGTACTGTGCTCTGTTTCATAATAGCATGTTTCACTTCCTTAAACATGACTCATGAGTTGAATGTTTCCCTAGAGCTGGATTTTCTGCTTCGAGGGTGTGCACGGGTCTACGTGGGTGCCATGATAATAAGGCTTGATCAGTGCCTACCTTTTTCTTACAGATCCAAAGCTCAAGATAAAGTCATCTCAGATCTAAGTGAATGCCAGTGTTTTGACTTTAGACTGAAGATTCAGCTGAGTGAGTTCTATTCATTTTTATTAGCTTTACAGTTTGTTAATGTTGTCTTGTATTTTCAGATTACTTCAATTCTAATGTAATGCCTAATATATGGCCATATTAAAGAAACACTTGTAGATTACTTTGGGGTTTTGCCTCATCGCACTATGAGTGAACTTCTCTTAGAGACAAGAATTTAACGTTAATTTCAGCAGGGGTGAGTCAAATGTTGCAACAACAACACACGAAAATATATATATATCAGGAAGTGGTTTTTCAGTCCCGCTGGTTTAGGTTCAGCCCTTCACAGTCCTGTCTCAACAATATGAAGCAGAAGTTTAGCAAACCCAGAGGTTTTAATGTTTGCTAAACGTTCTCGCGTGTTAGTGATCTTGTCACAAGATCTGTAAATGTTTTGTTATGTGGAGCGAAACTACTGCCATACTGGAAAAACTGACAAGTAAAAAGCCTTTGAAAGAAAAACGTTATTATTGTACCAAATCAGGCCCACCCATTTAAGGATAATGTGGTCAGAAAAAGTTGGATACCTATAAAATGCGTTCTTATTTTCTGTATTGCTGCTGAGTGAGATTGATATGTAATGCATGCAGTATTTACATTTGATTTAGATTCCTTATTTTGCATTGAATTATACTGTTAACACTCGCTGCTCTGACGGTTCAGAGATGTCTGTGCGGATGTTTCTACACAGATGCCACACTTAATGTCTCAGCAAATATTAGTGTTATATATAAGTGTTAATCAACTGTTCTTTTTTTGGACTGTTCAATCAGGTAATGTACCATCCAAATTATAGTGTATGAGGTGCAAATTAAGGGGCACAATTCTTGCAGCATATATAAATCAACACTTGTTTCTTTTTTTCTTGTCTTTGTATTTTAAGATATCACTAAGTCTCATACAGAAGAGGTCTCACTGCATTTTAAAAGAATATGGCGCAGGGACTGTGTGTAGACCATAATGTTTAACCATTGTACAGTAACTGTTATATAACAAGGTACAAGGTAGTTTATCATTATACAGCACAAGGTTGTATAAAAAAGAAAGTTTGTATTCCCTTAATTCTACACACACACAATTAAACCTAATTAAATGTGGATTAAAATATGGTAACATATAAAATAAATTTAATAAAACAATATATACTACAGTTAATTATATACATAGACGTTGGCATACATACATAACATTAGACAGTTCATTTTTTGAATTTGCATCGGGGGTGAATGTAAACAGCAGCATTAAGAAGATAATATGGTTTCATCTTCACATAAAAAAGTCTGACATTTGGGCAATGTCCATTTTCACACTGCAACACTGGCTCATTGCACTGTGAGGGTTATGCTTCTCTTTCTAAGAATCTCTTGTTACATCTGTCTTGAGGGTGGGACAAAAGAAACCAGGAAGTATTTTATACTTTCCCTGGTCTGCTTTGTTTTGTTTGGGTTTTAACTATCTGGCGAGAGAATTTGTTGACATGAGTGCCAGGAAAGTTTTCACTGTAAGCTTGACATTTTAAAGATTTTGTTTTCGGTTTATAAGTGTTTATAAGTTTATAAGTGTTTATAAGTGTTTTTTGTCAAGAGAGTTGGAAACAGCTGTTCAGTGCTGGAAGGGGAACCTTTTTTTCCGCGCTATTGCCAGCTATTGTTACCAAGTGGAATGGAGATTTTTATTGAATCAAGTCTATTGTTGAAGGATTAGACATTTGATCAAAAAGAAAATAGGTGCGTGGGATTTGTTACACAGGGATTATGTCTTTTCTTAGATGGAAGCTCTGGAATATTTTCTTTTATGTAGAATGAACACAGTTCTGGTTGTAAAAACAGTTTTGCTCAGGGTGATTGGGGTTCAACAAAAAATTCATGCAGAATTCTTGGCACCGAACAGCACTCTTATTTCCTGAGACAGGCTCCATGTGCTACATTCACGTGAGTCTGTACAGAAGGAAGTAGAGAATTAAAAAGGATCATCACTGTAGTTCTGTGTTGGACATCCTGATATATCATCCGCCTGGGTGCACACATTTCCTGGAATGCTCCAATAACAGCTTATGTTTTTCCCCCTATCCTACTTGTATTTCAGACAGCACCGTATTTGAAGATGTTTTTGTCATGTGCTACCGTCGTCTCTGTTTTGGCTGTCATTATTCCAGCTGCCTGCGGTGGGAACGTTCTGGTATTTCCACATGACGGCAGCCACTGGGTGAACATGAGGGTACTTGTTGAAGAGCTGCATTCAAGGGGACACGCTGTGACTGTCATTCGGGTTGCAGACAGCTGGTACATCAGTGAAACATCTCCACATTACAAGACTGTTACAGTGGATGTTGCCGGCGGTGCAAATGAGGATTTTTTTCGTCTCTTTGTCTCTGAAGTTATAAAAATTAAACGCAGCAAGGGGTCTGTGTGGGCCCGTTTTGCTTTAGACATGGAGTTAAAAGACAAGTTCTATGAATTGCACAGGAAAGTCTGTGAAGTGGTCGTGTACATGCTTGAAAATAAAGAGTTAATGAAGTCCTTTCAAGACGCCAAGTACGATGCTGTTTTGACGGACCCTGCAAACGGAGGAGGAGTAATCCTGGCTCACTACCTCGGGTTGCCGTTAGTTTTTAATGCTAGATGGACTGTTCATGGCGAAGCCCACTTTGCTGTTGCGCCCTCTCCACTTTCCTACGTCCCACTTCCACCTTCAGAATTAACAGATCAAATGACTTTCTTTGAGAGGGTCAAAAACGTGGTTTTTTATACAATGAGGATGCATCTGTACAAGCAGGTAGTTGGGCCACATTATTCTGCATTGTGCAGCCGCTATATTGGCCCAGATGTGGACTACTTCTCCCTGTTTCAAGCTGCAGACCTGTGGCTCATGAGAGTGGACTTTGTGTTTGAGTTCCCTCGTCCCACAATGCCCAATATCGTCTATATGGGAGGGTTCCAGTGTAAACCTGCAAAACCTCTGCCTCAACATCTGGAAGAGTTTGTGCAGAGTTCTGGAGAGGATGGAGTCGTCATCATGTCTCTGGGCACTTTGATTGGAGATCTTGCCCATGACCTGGCTGATGAGATCGCTGCAGCTTTTGCCAAATTACCTCAAAAAGTAATCTGGAGATATAAAGGTGACAGACCAGCCACTCTGGGCAACAACACTTTGCTCGTCGACTGGATGCCACAGAATGACCTCCTAGGACATCCAAATATTAAGCTCTTTGTAAGTCATGGAGGAACAAATGGAATATATGAGGCTATATATCATGGAGTTCCAATCATAGGCATTCCCATTGTGTTCGATCAAGCAGACAACCTCTCCAGACTGAGAGCAAAGGGCGTTGCAAAGGTTATAGATGTTTCTGAATTGGATAGGAAAATATTTCAGGATGCCCTACAGGAAGTCCTGAGTGAGCCCTCCTACACGAGGAACATGCAGAGACTCTCCAGACTGCACAGAGATCAGCCGATGAAGCCACTGGATACCGCCCTCTTCTGGATAGAGTTTGTCATGAGACACAAAGGTGCAGCTCACCTGAGAACAGAGTCCTACAGGCTGCCCTGGTATTCCTACCATTCTGTTGATGTCATGTTATTTTTACTAACGATCGCACTACTTATTTTGCTATGTTTTGCTTGGTTAGTAAGATCATGTTTTAGATTGTGTTTGAAAAGGAAAGTGAAATCTGACTAACCATGAAAGATGGATCAAGCATGTTCATATTGGTTAATATACAGTATATTACCCATATGACAGCCAGTCTGGCTGTGATCAGCTGAATACAGATGAGAGTTTTTTGAACTGTGCTTTGAATTGACTGCAAGTTACTAGAAGACTACTAACTGTTAAAAATAAATAAATAAACTGCCAGTTTTGAATGCTAACTTGCAAGAGTCTGAATGCTGTATGCATGCATCAGTTTAACATTTATTTGGTTTTAACCAAATGAAACTGTGAAAACTCACAGCAAATGCAAACTACCATAAGACTATTAGACTAACCAATTTCAGCTCTCCTATATTCTGTATATTCCTGTATTGGATTGTAACATAGGAGAAAAACCTATTTTTCCCACCAGCATATGTTTGTCCTGCTGAAAGCACAGCTCTAGGTTTGTTAAAATGAATGTATTTAAAAAGCGGATCTAAATTAGGCTTTGTTGATACCTTTATCAGACAGCTTTTCCCAGGCTGTTAAAGTAAAATGCCAGATATAAAAAAAAAAAAAAAAACATTTCAGAAAACAACATACACCTGAGCACTGAAAAGCCACATGACAAAACGAGTTGGTCACACCATCAAGGCATGCTGCTGTAGCTTTTTTTTTGTGGTAGACTGAATTATGGAATTGCAATCTAATTAGCAATTTAAATGGATATATCACAATCTGAACCTTTTTATGTGACTAAACAGTTGCAACAGAGAAAAATAACCCTGCACAATTTTTTTGTTTTCTAGTCACTTAGTTTTTGTCACACATTTACTAAGGAGTTAAACACCATGGACAAGTTTTACTCCCCTTTGTACTTTATCACCTGTGTGTTTGAGAACATGAAATTGCAGTGCCAAAGTCCAGCTCAAGTTGGAACCTAGAAGGACTAGCACGTGTTCTGCTCTCTGGCAAAGGAGAAATACTGAAAATAAAAATTCACTGGATGCCAGGAAAGGTAACATTAGCAGTTTTTTGCCATTGCCAATACGAGTGATGTCTGTCTTGGGGTTTTATTTACTGCATAGTTCCAAAGGTTTTTTTTTTTTTAAATATTTAACTAGCATGCTTGCTAGTTGGCCCTTGCTGTATATGTTAATAGGCTTGCATATGGACAACTGAGTAACTGTATATGGCATACATTAATTATTATGTTAAATAAAAATAAAAATATAAACGCACTTTTTAAAAACTTGTTATTTAATCTGACATTTGGATTTCTGTGATAAAACTACTTGCAGCAGGCTACACATACAATACAACTGCAAAGTTATTTAAAGCAAAACATGTTAACAACTATAACACTTTTAGAATAGAAAACAATAGAAGAATTGACAAATTGGTAAACTGCAACCTCTATATTTAAGTAAATGTACTGTTTTGATGAAAATGCTAGTTGTATAGAATTATGTATTTGATAAGCTATAATATACTTTCTTCCCAACTGTAGAATGAAAATGCATGGGCCCTGGGTCTGGATCCCTCTCTGCTTGCTCTGTCAAACTCTGGTTTATGGTGGGAAAGTTCTTGTTTTTCCAGTAGACGGGAGCCACTGGGTGAACATGAAAGTCATTGTTGAGGGACTACATTCAAGGGGCCACCAGGTTTCTGTTGTGCGGTCATCAGACAGCTGGTATATCAAGGAAACCTCACCATTTTATACTTCAATTACACTCGATATAGAGTCCGGATTTGGCGAAAACTTTATTACTACGTTTGTGGCCCAGTTGCTGGAAACCCAGAGGGAAGGGAAGTCTGCCTGGACACGTTTTAAACTGGAAATGGAACAAGCACAAAAGGCCTCTGAGCTGCATGAGAACACATGCAAAATGCTTGAGATGCTTTTTGAAAACAAAGAGGTGATACAATCGCTACACAAGGCCAAATATGACCTTGTCCTTACAGACCCTGCTATACCAGGGGGTGTTATACTTGGCCACTACCTCAGGTTGCCTCTTGTTTTCAATGTCAGATGGACTAGTCAAGGTGAAGGCCATTTGTCAATAGCGCCTTCTCCTCTTTCTTATGTTCCAATGACAGGGACAGAGCTTTCAGATAAAATGAGCTTTCTTCAGAGACTTCTTAACGTGATCATTTTTGGCTTCACGGAATACCAAATTTCACAGTATGTCTTACCAAATTATGTTGGCTTAATTGAAAAATATTTAGGTCCAGACACAGACTACTTATCCCTGTTTCAAGCAGCAGACTTGTGGCTCATGAGAGTGGACTTTGTGTTTGAGTTCCCTCGTCCCACAATGCCCAATATCGTCTATATGGGAGGGTTCCAGTGTAAACCTGCAAAACCTCTGCCTCAACACCTGGAGGAGTTTGTGCAGAGTTCTGGAGAGCACGGAGTCATCATCATGTCTCTGGGCACTTTGATTGGAGAGCTTCCCCATGACCTAGCTGATGAGATCGCTGCAGCTTTTGCCAAATTACCTCAGAAAGTCATCTGGAGATATAAAGGTGACAGACCAGCCACTCTGGGCAACAACACTTTGTTAGTAGACTGGATGCCACAGAGTGACCTTTTAGGACACCCCAAGACAAAACTATTTGTGGCTCACGGAGGAACAAATGGCGTCCAGGAGGCAATCTACCATGGAGTTCCTATCCTAGGACTTCCATTGATTTTTGATCAGCGTGATAATCTATTTAGAATTGAAGTAAGAGGAGCAGGGAAAATTATTGATATCTTTACTATGAATGAAGACACCTTCTTTCAGGGTATTCAGGAAGTCCTAAATGAGCCCTCTTACAAGATGAACATGCAGAGACTCTCCAGGCTGCACAGAGATCAGCCGATGAAGCCACTGGATACCGCCCTCTTCTGGATAGAGTTTGTTATGAGACACAAAGGTGCAGCTCACCTGAGAACAGAGTCCTACAGGCTGCCCTGGTATTACTACCACTCTGTTGATGTGATGCTCCTCTTAGTTGGAGTTGTGCTGATTATTCTGGGGACCTTCGCTGCCTTAATAAGGTGTTTATGCTCGGTGTGTCTGAGTACACAGAGCAAATGTGATTTTAAAAAATCTAAGCGGCAAACAAAATGAAATCTGAACAACAAAAATACTTAGAATATCCTATAATTTGAATATGTAAAACATGAATGAATGTGGGCTTAACGATTTGTACTGTGATGTGATGGGAATAACATAAAATCATTTGACACGAGTTGCAAAGACTTAAAAGACAACACATCTCAATCATTCAGTACTTTGTAATTCTTTATTTTATAAACAAGGAAGAACATGTGTTTACGGCTGATTATACTTGTTTCACTCTAGTTTTACAAATCTGGTACTCTGGATAAACAGTCATGTCATACCTCTGACATACATTACGTAGTGAATATGTGACCCCTTGACTCATCTGTAACCTCAGATAGTCCACGCAGATGGAACCTTTAGGAGAAAGGGTTAACAAAATGTACAGTAATATTTCCACTTTAGAGGGAGCAAAATAAAATAAATGAGGATACTATTCATGGGTTTGTCTTCTTTAATTAAAACATTGGAAATTATATTTTCATATGTTTGTCCTCTTTTCTCTCTTAGCACAATACACCTAAATATTAAATTCTAAATGACTACATTTATTCCTCTATGGTGCACAGTTTTGAGGGTTCCTGTTCTTATCTCATATGATGCTTAAACCCTTGCTTTTTCCCGGTAGGATTTTGTGTTATGGACTGTTGTTGATAGCTCGATCTTGGTTTTTTATTAAACACATAAACTTTCATTCATTTCAGTGTTGATGACAGACCTCTCCCCTTTCACTTTTGGCCTCCCATGAAGGGAAGATGAACATGAATGTCGTCATCAAAGTTCTCCATTCACAGATGCAATGATAAAGACCAATTCATGATTTACTCTCTTCACATTATTATCACCATTGCTATTGCTAAAATAATTACCTTTACTTTTATGTACGAAAAACACTCATATATATATAGTTTATAGTATAGTTTTTCGTGTATATATATATATAAAGAGTAGATCTCAGTAATGATTTTGCAAACTCACAAGTGGGGATATTTACTGCGATGTTTCACAGAAGCTTGAGTCAGCATTATTAAGGACAGTAAGCATATTTAACCAGTATGGGGTGTAGGTACATTATATTAGCTCATTATATACCTTTAGTTTATTACCTCTAAGAGAATGTATGTAATAAAGGAACTGCTGACTCAGGACAAGTGAAAGCTTAGGGTGAGTTATTGTGATATAGTATCTGTGGCTTAGGGGAGTTGCCATTGTGTTTAAGTATCCCTGTCCCACATTCCCTAAAGCTGTCCCATAATACTTGGATATGGATATGTCTCTGGAGACTTAGTTGGTGAAAAAACAAAAGTGAAATTGCTGTAGCATTTGCCAAATAATCTCTGACAGTCAGAAAAGAGTGACAGACCAGCTACTCAGGGCTCGAACATTTTACCTTCAAGGTCAACCGAAATAAAACAGTTTGTTGCTCATGAAAGAAAGTAAAGTAGTTCAAGACTCCCTCGAGTCCTTTGAGTTGTGGGTTTACAATTGTTTGCTGATGAATATGACACCATGCTGTGTCTAAAAGTGAGGGGACCGGAGTGGATAAAGACAACAACTTCCTGAGGGCCTTCCAGGAAGCCCTGAATAAGCCCTCCCACAGGATGAACAAGCAGGGTCTGCCCCAATTTCTACACTTAATGGGTTTAACTGGCACTTGGGCAATGTTATGAATAACAAGAAATCCAAGTCGGAAATACACTACAGCTGTATGTGTCTGTTTTGGCAGACTTAAAGAGAAGCTCCAGGCTGCAGAGATCAGCCAAAAAAGCCATTCAACCAGTGTCATCTAGATAAACGTTGTCCTAACATACAAAGGTGCCTCTCACCTGAGAATGGTGAGAAAATCTGCAGATTTATCATTGTAGATCTGTAGATTTCATGTGCGACAATGATAATTCTGCAGATTTGTTTTAGCGAAGGGACCCTGTTTCAGCGGTGCCACAGGTACTGAAGTGGCATTTAATTTAAGCCCACTAAAAGTTGAAAGGATATTCCCAATGTTACCATGCATGTGTGAATGTCAAAACAGCAGTATTTGTTATTCAAATGACAATGCTTTTTCCAACAGTGTATTGGTACTTTTACAAGGTAGAGAGATGTTACACTAAAACCCTAGGTTCACAACTGAGTTGATCACACTTTAAGACAAACTCAAATTCCCATGACAGTAAGTTTTTAGGACTGTGGAAACTACTATGTTATTGTGACATGACTGTACAAAATCCCTGAGGGTTTTACTTCAATAAATAAATTATTTTATTACAAAAAACAATTAAAAAAACATACTGCAAATACTGTTATAGAATTTGTGTCTACATCCTACTATTGGCTGGTTGCAGCCATGATACAAATCATCACATACATGGTTTTACATCTCTAGCAGTCAAACAGGTAAATCATTAGGAATATCAGTTTGGTCTGAATCATCACTGTTAGGTAGAATTAAACATGATGGAGGTCTGATCCTTCAAAAGTCTGGAGACATTTTCTGCCCAGGTGGTAAAACGAAAATATTTCAAGTGAAATTTCACTTTCACGTTTTCATTTTTGGCATGCACACGTTAAAGACACCTCAACTAATTTCAGTCAGATCAATATTAGCTGACTCGTGGATTCCACTTGTGTCAATATAGCTAATCCAAAACACACTGAAAAACTTCCAGGTTTAAAAAAAAAGAGAAAAAGAAATACTATTTTCAAGGATTGAAAATTTTGAAAGTAAGACAGCAGTGCTTACTGAGTTTCTAAGAGCTGCTGGCAGCAGCAATTCATGTCCACTAAACATCCACAAAATGTGCCAAAGTGAAATATCACTTTTAAGGAATTGTTTGACTTTTTGGTAAATAAGCTTTAAATTTGCCTTCTTGCCCAGAGTTAGAAGGGAAGATCAATACCACTCTCATGTTTCTCCTGTAAACGTGAAGCTGGATTCAGCAACCAGTTAACTGAACTTAGCATAAACATGGGAAAAAGAGAGAAACAGGTAATTCAGTTTACGCATGGTTATGTGATGGACTATATCTTGCAGTAACGACCTGAAATCTCTGCTGGTTGCCAGCCTAGTGCTCTAATACAAGAAATAGTCTATCCCAGACGCCCCCTATAAAACAGCAAAATATTGTTTTATCACTGTTTTTTGTACAAATGAGATATAACAGATTAATGAGTGGCCTTCAGGCTGGCTGTTTCCCCAATTTCTAGTATTTATGCTATGCTAAGCAAACCAGCTGCTGGCGAGTGGTATCAGTCTTCTGATTTAACTCTCGGCAAAAAGTGAATAAGCATATTTCCCAAAACATTAAGCTATCTCTATAGGTAAAAACTAATAAGTCAATGCACCGACGCATGATATGAAAACAGGCACAAACCATTGATAATACAGAAAAAACAGCATCATTGAACGTAAAAGACTTATGTCCAGTTTGTATTGGGGAAAATACTTTCAAACGGCACTTACTGACAATAGTTATGAAAACTCTTAGTAAAGTCTGTTCAAGGTATTTACAAAGTGTCCATGCCAGCAGGGCAGGTGTGGTGGGCGGTGTAAGTCTTCTCATGATGTCCTGGTCCGTAGAGAGCTCATCCTGAGGACAGTGAGCTCGGCTACATCTGCATCCTGCATCTCCACCTCTTGTTGGCAGCTTTCTCTGATTACATACACTATGAGACCCATACAGATGAAAATGAGGAGGACTATGCCTATAACCTGGGGTCCAAAAAAGTAAAGTAACACTGTTTAGTAAACATCCAAAGAAAATGTGTATTTTTGATTAGCTAATATAATAACAGAGCTATATGAATAGTTTCCAGAGGGTAATGGCATAACATTATGGCTATATTCTCTACAGTGCAGACTCTGTGGGGGAGTTTCAATCCAATCATCCTCCTTAATCTTTTGTAAACTAGAAAATATTCAACTCACCTGAGAAAAAACAAACAGCTGCTGTGAGCGGAGCATTAGTTCTTGTGGGGTGACATCTCCCTCACTAATTGGCTCACACCACTTCTGCGGAGCTGCCTTGTCAACTAGTACAAATCTACCCTCCCAGTCTGTCATAGCACAAGCAAAGTATTGGCCATCGAGGAACAACAAAATCAGCCACACGATAGCAGGGACAAAACTGGAGAGGGAAACACTTTTCCTGCACCACGTATCACATCTGCATCCTTGAATGATCAGCATCAAGGTGAAGGCCATGACGGCAGGAATGATGAAGAAGGCTGATGAAAACACTCCGTTCCATGTAGGGTTGCAAGGACACTCAAACTCCAGCTCCACCAGCTTCTCTAGTCCCATGAGGATAAAGCCAAACGCCACATTTGATACCAGAGGACTGTTGCTAAGTTCATTTTTCAGCCTGGTAAGCCATTGTTGTCTACTTTCCATACTAGATTGACCGAAAAATGAAGACAGTCGTTGTAAAAAGCCCAAAAGAGGGTCCACCGTTGTGAACACATTGGCAACAGCTAAGTGATGCGTAATTAACGCATCCAGGGGTAAGTTTTCCCCTCGGGCAAAATGCCACAGTTCCACTCTGATTGGTTTTGAACAAAGGAGGGTGTGTCGTCTGCTCTGACATTTCTCTAGCGGATTGGTCTGTGCAAGGTTTCAGGTGGGGTTACATTTTAAATGTGGTCTCCCATGGACAAACTGGAGGGAGGGCTGTAAAGTGGAGGGAAGTTTGTTCTGCAGTTGAGCACAGACTGGCCATTTGCAATAGGACAGCAAAAAAACAATGCATGCATGTTGGTGCAAGCATATATTAAAGGGCAAGCCAGTACATACAAGAATCAAATTACAGACCCGCATTTTCACTCAAACTAAACAAGGAGATGTCACAATAAAAACAATTTCGACTAAAGAAGAAAGAAAAAGCAACTAAAGAAATGTCACTGAATTTACTAAATAAAACTACAAGCCTAGTTATAAATGAATCACGTGCTCAGATGTGTTTTGTTTTATATGTCACAATTGTCCTCAATTAAAAAAGGAGATGCATGCTGACTCTTATTCAGTTCACCTCAACTGGCCACATGAGGTCGCCCATGTTGCAGCGCTTAAGGATATTAAGGCTAGAGAGGATTACAGGAGGCCATGTTGAACTTTCAAGGGGATGTGGTGTACATACAGCTTGAGCACACCCAGGCCACCAATGTGATGACATAATTCATAAATGACCTCAGTGAGCTCAAGAGCATCACCATAATCTCCTCACATTAAAACCTGACAAGGGAATGTACTTAGGCACTGTGAAACAGGCGTGATGTGACTGGTGAAAGCTGCGTCTGGATTTCCTGTCAATTCATCTACATAGCTATTCCGAGTTTTGTTTTGTTTTTTAAATGTAACTGTCCAAATCTTGCCTGTTAATATCTGACATTTGTTCTGCATTGTTTGTGACAAATCTGACTTGGCCACTGGTGATAAACGAGCTGACAATTTATAGTTGCACTAATATTGCAACAGCTGTTGAAAATAGTTAGGAAGTCATACAGGCCAGGTTATTACTGTAGTCGCCGACAGGTCAGCGAATACTGTGTGAGCAGGAAAACATCCTCCAAATGACCGATGATGAAAATGTGCACCTGTCATCCTATAAGCTATATATATATATAAAACAGCTTATCCGCGGACACGGAAATGAAGGCTGATAATAATTGCCTGAATTCAGAAACAACATCAATTAGGCTACATACGTGTTATATGTGTGTGTGTGTGTGTGTGTGTGTGTGTGTGTGTGTGTGTGTGTGTGTCTGTGTGTCTGTGTGTTTATCCACGGTCATGAGCGCATAGGGCACGCGCAGCTTGTCGTTGCTACCGTTGGTGTCCTAACAGCATCTGTTCCTCTCTTTGGAACAGACTTATGTTTCGGCTACATCAGTTCTCGTCGGAAATAATTTGTGCGCTACTTTCATTTTAATCACCGAGCCGTGACTTGCGACGCGCAAATGCGCATCGGTCCGCGCATCTTTGAATCTTCAGAACTACACTGTGGACACAATCTCCCTGGCATCCGAAGACCTCTCCTCCGCAATCCGACGAGGCTTCTTCACCGCCTATGGCCGCACATCGGCATCCTTGAGCCGCTGGCCTCGTCCCGGACCTTTCACCCATCGCTGTCCTCCAAAGGTCTTTGAATCAGGGAGACATCTGGAAACACTTTTTTTAATTTTAAATAATCCTTGGCTGGCTATTTTAAAGCACCCGGTGCTATGCTGGGCCCATCTCTCTAGATCTTGTGATTAATACACGATCTCTCCTCCCACATTCGTCCGACCGAGACCCTGGTACTCTCATCGAGTCCCGACAATGCATCCTAACGCAGTGATGCTGGCGGTGGTCCTTTTGGGGAACTTGATGCTGCCTTTCATCTCGGCTCAAAACGGTAAGAAAGCAGATGTGGCCCGCCGTAATTGTAAACATCGCATTTAAAGGAAAGTGACTTGACTTGTGGGAAGAAGACAGTCGAGCGAAATGTTTTCTAGAGGATTTTGAGAATGACTGCGTTAAAGCTAGGCTACTAATAGTTTCACGCATCTCGACAACAAGGCCAGAAGTGGTGACCAACAAATCTTATTAAATAACTGATGAGAAAATGTAACCTTTAGCCTACTGGAGCTCTTAACTCAGAAAACAGAAAGAAAAGTGACGTTGTTGTGACAATTTTTTTTGCAAGGTTATTGACTGTCAACTGAGTAAGTGTGTGTCTGTATGAGGAATTAATTGCCACTTCCTGGCAAGTCGAATATGTTTTGAAATAGACAAAGGAGAAGTGTTGCTGGGAACCAAACTAAAGTTTGTACCCTCATGGAATAGCCTAAGTTTTGAATATTTAGATATAGAAGTAGCCTATGGGTAGGCGTGGGTTGCCAGTGTGCAGTATGTTTTGTCAAAGTGGGTTGGGGAGCAGAGTGCAACCCCATCCTGCTCTGGATGCTGATCAAGTAACATTATCAACAGCGAACAGGGGCTAAAGGCTTGCCCAGTGCATGCTGTAAATATTGCAAATACAAGGCCCTTGTGAACCACAGTTGCTGGGCCTGTGCATCTATTTGATTGATAAAACTTCTCCCCTATTATACCACATTTCCTGTCATGCCCGCTTAAGTGGCTCTTTCTTGCTCAACTTGTTCAGTCTGCAGTTATTGCAAAACTAAATGCATTCACAACACCCTTATACCCCTTTCTGTCTGTTTCCAAATGTTTAAAGGGAGGGAATACAATACAAAATTCAAGTCACAATTTGTGACTTGAATTTCAAAGGATTACTGTAATAAAAGTGACATGATTTGGTTAAAGTGAATGTCCATAGCATGCTTTTGGTTGTTCCAGGCTGTCCTCCTCTGATACAGCATGTCCTGACTTCAAATTGTGTTGAATCACATCACCCAGAGGGACACACAAATCATCAGCCGTTCATGAAATGAAAGTGGAATCTTTTGAATCTTTAGTTTTTCATAAAAAAAACAAACAACCCTCAATAGGTCCCTTGAGCAACCCTGACATGCTTATGAAGACATTGCCGCTTTCTTATACAAATGTAATCAATCTATTTCAGTTGTTGTTAACAAAATAATCACTGCCTGTAGTCATTTCATTTAAGCTTCTATACCCACATGCCAAGGCCCCTGTGTTGACAAATCAATATCAATGACATGGTCTAATCCCCTTTCAGAGAAAAATAAGGCAGAGAACTGTCTCCGCATACTTATAATATTAAATGCTTAATGTCCACCTCGTCTTTTCTGCGGGATAATCAGACACCCACTATGCAAGACTTAATAAGACATGTATTTGATAGGATGAGAAGGTTGTGAAAACCCTCTCACCAGCACTGTCCTATCTTTTAAAGATGCATTTTTGAATACTGAGTCAATGCAACTAAACAAGAGTAATATACTGGAACAGTTTGTACTATTTTTGTGTAATACTAGTAAAACACAATATGCAGAAATGAAAGACGCGCAATAAGCAGATCACTTTACAAGAAAGCACAGAAGCAACCTACATCTTCAGCTTGTACAGAGACAAAAAAACCCTTCAAAATACCACAGCAGTTATATAACAAACTATCATCCTCTGAATTCCTTTCTTTCTTCATTGTTAATTTCTTGAAGGTGCTTGAAGTGTGTGCGCGCACAGTGAGGCGTTCTCTGATCTTGCCATCGGGAAAACCAAATACCCAATAAGCCCTCTATTGTTTGATAAAGCTCAAGCAAAGGCATTCCAAACACTTCCTGTGGTCTTTGCCCAGTGTTAGTGTCCACTCACTGAGGCCTAGTTCACACCACAGAAACACACGCACACACATATACAGGGGTCAGTGGGAGACAGGCTGGTGCCACCCAGTTACTCACTGTGTCTGTGCCTTATCTGTTTTATTTAGAAATCCTAAATTCACAGCTAATCTAAAGACACCCTACATTCATTTCAAGTTTGATCACAGCTGTAATAAGCTACAGTTAGTGTTTAAAACCCTTGGTAATATTCTGATATTTGCTCACATCGCATGCTTCTGAAAAGCCATTTCATTCCTCTCTCACAGTTCAGATTAAGGGTAATCGGTGCATGGCTTCTTATGCAATCCTAGATTTTCCTGTGATATTACAGAGTTCAGGCAGTGGCACGGGGAGAAAAATAATTATAAGTGCATGAGATGTAATCACTCTATCTGGGAAGCAGGGGGAATTCATGCCATTATTTCCTCGTGTTCAGGGAAAAGTAGGTCTACTATAGGTGGCGAGTTTCTGTGACAGATATTTGGAGGACTGTAAATAGCATCCGTCCATTCTGCCTCGTTTCTATTTTTACCACCGAGACACAGCACCGAGAACTGTGGCTTTAAGGTCCTTTTGTGAAAGTGAATTCATTAACTCTTAATGGACGGCCTCCTTGTGCACAGCTGCACAGCCTTCTAAAGACTTGCTAGGTGGCTGTTAACCATTTAAGCTGAGAGATGATGTGATCTTTATGCAAAGAAAATAAAGGTTGCCGAGGAGATTGCTGACCTGAGGAAGTGCATTTGTGCCTTACATAGTTTCCTCCTGCAAAGCACAGGTTCCTTGTGCTGCCAACATTGTTGTATTATCGCTGCCTGTGCAAATCAAAACATACATGTCAAGACAAACTTTAGAATAATGAAATGAGCTGATATAATTACTGCCATGCTAAAAAATAACCATATGTTTTCTTTCATTTAACTCGTCATAACCCCCAGGTTAGCAGTTGCTTAAGAACGAGCACACATTCAACAGCCATGATTGGTTCTTGTTAAGGTTATACAATGGAACTATACAGACATGATGTAGACAAAGCTACGCTCACAGGTATTGCAATATATAATGCAATTACACTATGCAGGTTTTTTGGGCAATATGTGGTCCTCTAATTTTTCTTTATGCCACTTGTGCATTATCATCAACAGGGGCCAACATCACATTTTAAAGGATAATTTTGGTATTTTTAAAACTGGCTCCTATTTTCACATTTTGGTGTCGATATGAGTAGTAGGTAAAGTTTTGGAATCCGTGCAGTAGATGGTTTCAGCTGTCAGCTTGTCCATTATCATGTTTCTGTCCAGGCTCTGGACAAAGGCACATTTGTGAGTCTGGAAAATATGCTGTAGGACTCAAGCCAGCACTTACTCTGAGTCATGCTTGCCCACTGTGAAATCTGATATGGACTGCACTGATTAGGGCCAGCATCACACTGTATAAAACACAATGCAGGTACACTGATGCACAACTGTAAGATGATGTTTTTCTAAAATAGTGATTTGTCCAGGGAAGGGTTTGCTGAGCATGCATGCTTTTTTTTTCAGCATCACCCTGTTCCATGTTCATACACCGCTAGAAGTTCCTCAGTGTAGTCACAGCCCTGCACTACTGGCTGTTTCACCGGAACCACTGTGGTTAAGTGTGCTGCACAAAGGCAGCTCAGACAGAATACTCAAAGAGGTAACTGTCATTTATACATGGCCCGATTTTCCCCAC